AAACGTTTTTCCTTTTCCAGCGTGCCCATAGCATTGCAGTCGTACCTTGTGTAGCTTTTTCAGATTGGCTTCTTTCACTTTTATGCGTTTTTAGTTTCTACTCCTGACTTTTTAATGACCATCATAGAGAGACAATTATTAATGGACTGATGACATTGTGGATAAGCTACCGGTGAAAATTCCTTTTGTTAATTATGCTCTAACTGCCCTGTGGGTGCATTTGGCAGTTACAAAGCGTTTTCGCTGTATCCCTAACACCTGGAAGTTAACTGGTCGCCTGGCAGATGCTAATTTTTGGGTAAATGAAATTGTATGCAGTTGTCTCCATGCAAGGTTCAGCAATACTATGAGGTATTTTAGAATACCCTTCATAGGTTAGTAAATATAAAATGATTTTAATTGAGAGGGCTGAAATAGCCTTGGGTAAAATAAAAATCAGCAATTTTATTTTAAGATACACTCAGTATCTTCCACGGCTGCTGGAGGGGGACTCTGCTTGTGCATTCCCTACAGTCTCCCACTTCAGTGCTGCAAAAGCCGGCTTGTAGGGAACAGGGAAAGGGGACTTTACTAGAGTCTCTGCAGTATGTCCTAGTCTCCCGAGAGCCAAAAGAGCACAAGGTGAATGAAAGATGAGACAGAAGAAGCTGAGCTTTGGGTCTGGTCAGTGCTGCTTTGGGCGGCAGATGAAAGCCCCCAGTTTACTGCACCTTTTATTCAGTACATCGGGAGAAACAAATGTAACAAATGACTTACAGAGAGTTCAGTACATCCGCATAGACAAGATGTAACAATCCAAGAACAATGAGGAACTGAGTAGATGTTTGTTCCTCCCAGGATGTTTTCAACTGGTGTAATATTGTCCTGGAGAATCACAGCATCACTGGATCATTGAGGTCTCACTTGTGACCGGAGGCCAAAATGCAATTCTGTCTCAGAATTTCATAGCTGGGCTGTAGGCAAGAGAATTGGGCTAACCAAATGATTTTGCCCTAAAATTATGTAGCGTTGCTCCCGACCCCGGCTCCCTGGGGTAGCTGAATACATTTGAAGCCTGTCCTTCTGTTTGCCTTTTCATGTTCTAAACAGCTCTGGTCCAGTTGGCTTCCTTTTTCTCCTCCACTGAAGAATTACCTGCCACAGTCCCCGAGGATGATTGCTACCCTCAGCCTCCTCTTCCTTTCCTACTCCCAAGTCTCTGCTCTTGATCTAAGTTTCCCTATTTCCAGTTAGGAAACTTTGCCCTTGACTAGGGGACTTTTGCACCCAGTCTCACGGAATCCTGGCAACAACTGTCCAAGTAAAAATGGGTGGGGCCACCCCATTTCAGGGAAAAAGGACTTGATAGACTGAAGTGAAGGAACTTTCCAGAAAGGCTCATGCCCAGGTCTCGTGCCAGCCAACTGCTGCTCTTTCCACTCCATCTGTGCACTGCGCCCTCTTGTCCTGGCTCAGAAGCCCTGGGCTGGACTGCAGGTGTGCAGTCTGCTAGCTGTGTGGCCTTGAACTTCACCTTCTCCAACACTGTTTCTTCATCTGTGAAAATGGAAACTGTGACATCTATGGGGTCGTGAGGGCTGTTAAATGAGATTGTGTTAAATGTAACGATAATCTTTTACCATCGTTCATCTAGGAAATGAACAACCACTTAGCAACGATTTTCCCACACGGTCTCGCTGTGGAACTGAGATTCCCCCCATTCCAGAGGGGAATGAACTAAGGCAGGGATGTCGTTATTTGCAGACTGGGCTATAATTCATTTTCCACTATCAGTCCTGTGTGTATTCCTGAACCTCAGAACCCCCTGCCCCAAACTCCGAGTGCAGTGCATTTGGGTCCTGAACAACATAAAGCATTTCCAGCTATCAGCCAGACAAACATGGAGATTTGTCTACAAGTGTGTCCCTGCAGGTTAGAGGGTGTGCGACTTATGCCTGTGACGTATACCCAACCCAAGGAATCCAAAATGGCAGATGGTCCCTGGGGGCTGCATTTTGGTTTTCCAACTGAAAATTTGCCGATTCTTTTAGGAAAATCATGACCCTTCCTAGGCGGCTCACTCCCTTGGTTGCTCTTTCTTTTTCTGTTAATTTTTTGAGATGGGATTTCACTGTGTTGCTCAGGCTGGTCTTGAATTTATGGGCTCGAATGATCCTCCTGCCTCAGCCTCCTGAGTAGCTAGAACTAGAAGCATGTAGCACCGTACCCAGCTCTTCCAGGCAGCTTTTAAAACTCTCCATAGCTACGTACAGTGTTGCATACCAGTAGTCACAGCTACTGAGGGAGGCTGAGTCTGGAAGATCAGATGAGCCCAGGAGTTCAGGCCCAACCTGGGCAACATAGTGAGGCCCCATCTCAAAACAAAAACCCCACTTTTCCTAGCATATCAAACTAGAAATGGGTTATCCACTTCCCTTCGCTCTCTGGGCCTGAGCCAAATATTTTACCAGTGAACAAGGAAGGTGATTATTACTGTGACAGACAGCAAGAACTTCCTGGCCAAAGACTTTCACCTCCATTTGTAGTCTTTCTGCTCAGGTAGTGCTGCCCTTACAGAGGGCTCAGATTCCCATCCTGTTGATTTGGAGAAGGCTGCCAAGGGCTAATCTCACATTTGGGGTTGGAGTTGCATTTTCTAAGGCAGTGGAAGTGGTTTCTTTTGTCACCCTGCTCTCCATTTCCGGTCACTGAGGAGAAGGTAGACATTGTCCTGCTGAGCTGCCTTCCGCCAACACAGATCCAACCCTTCTTAAAAAACAGTCTTGTTTTGGCTTTTGTATCCTGCTGCATCGCAGGAAATGTAGTCCCTTGGCTCCTGCGCGTGTAACATGTTTGCAGCATCCTGCAGCAAACCTCCCACATCTGTCACAAATGATCCTGGCGCTATTTGGAACCAGGATCCAAGGGCAACAATCAGAGGCCAAGATCAGGGTGGGGAGCTGTAAGTCTGTGGGAAACTCACAAGTTGGGGTAACACATGGGCTTAGCATGAGTAATGGAACGGAAAGGAAGGACGATGAGGAGCCAGGTGTGTTGTAATGGAAAGGTTTGACCAGGTGCCCCTGGCTTGCACATCATCCCAGCTACTTTGCACAAGAATACAGAGGCCCTGGAAATCTTCTCCTGTCATGTGCTTCAGAGTGGGAGTTGCTGGCAGGCGTTAGCTGGTGGAAAACATCAGGGTGGCAGATGTTTAATTATGGGTCTGTTCTCCATTTCTGCTCAGAGCCCTTTTTTCTGGAGCCTGGGCTTCTGCCACAGTGTTGCCTTTTGCCCCCAGCCCCAGCATCTCTCCCTTGTTCAACATTCTCCCAGACTCTTTCCCCAGAATCCAAAAGACAGGGATTGAACAGATCACAGGGAAGCCAGAGAGGAATCTATGCAGCTGTGTGATGTGGGTCAAAACACTTAAATTCTTTGTGCCTCAGTCTCCTCATCTGCAAAATGGGGATAATATACCCTTACTGGCTAGCCACAAGGGTTAGGAGAGAAGACACAAATGTATGGAGTCTGGTGCCAAGCATGCAATAAGTGCTCACTAGATGATAGTAACTGTTGATGTTTTACAGTGGAATTCATCCTGTAAAGACTGTTGCAGGCTGGGTGCAGTGGTGCACACCTATAGATCCAGCTACTTGTGAGGCTGAGACAGGAAACTCACTTGAGCCCAGGAGTACAAGGCCAGACTGGGTAGCATAGTGAGAACCCATCTTAGAAAACAAACAAATGAACAAACAAAAAAACCTCAACAAACTTCTGCAGATATAGGGCAGTATTTTCAATGCCAAATGAGTATTGTGAGAAAGTTCTGATAATCCACTGAGAATAAGTGTTTGAGATGATCGGGTGATAATCAAAGAATGCAAATAATACTTTGCCGGCATTGAAATACCATGTTTTTCTTTTATCTTGGTAGAAAATGGAAATCAGCACAAAGATGTCCCTGGAAGGATCCTTCCCATCTTTTATGTGTAGGAAACAGGGAAAGGGGACGTTACTAGAACCTCTGCAGTAAGTCCTAGTCTCCTGGGAGCCACAGCAGCACAAGGCGAATGACAGGAAAGGTAGAAAAATGAGACCGAGAAGAAGCTGAGCTTTGGATCATTGCTGCTCTGGGCGGCAAAGACGAAAGCCCCCAGTTTACCGGACCACATCGGGAGAAACAAATGTAACAAATGACTTGCAGAGAGTTCAGTACATCTGCGTAAACAAGAGGTAACAATCCAAGAACAAGGAGGAAGTGAGTAGATGAAGATTTAAGATGTAATCTTGTCCAGGAGAATCACAGACAGCATCACCGGATCATTGAGCTCTCAGTTGTGACCGGAGGCCAAAATGCAGTTATGTCTCAGAATTCCACAGCTGGGCTGTAGGCAGGAGAGCTAAGCTAACCAAATGATTTTACCCTAAAATTATGTAGCATTGCTCCCGACATATAGTTGCCATCGTGGTGCTTTGTTTACCCTGCAAGTCTGTCTTGCCTTCACAAAAGACACCAGGCACAAAGGGCTGAGACTCAATCCCTAGTTTTAGGCGTTTGCCACTTGACACTCGAGACAGGGTTGTGGGAGAGCTAGCTGTACTGGGTTGTGTAGGGGTGGGGACTGGAGGGATGTGCGCTGCTGAGCTTCCCAAGCCTTCACCATCTGATCCAGCACGGGAGGAAGCGTTTGACATGTCACACCCATTTGCAGATTCCCAGCCTAGATTTTTGTTTTAATGTGCAAAAACTTAGAAGACTTGAAAAGCATTCAGCTGGGCAAGCAGAGGCACAGAATACAGCAGGATAACGTTGCTTAGGTTTCTGGCATGGTTTCAGACATGGAAGGGAGGGCCTGTGTTGCCGGTGTCTTCCTGTGCCAGAGGAAATTCTGTTGTCCTTTCCACTTTGTCTTCACAGGGAGCTCTGCGAATCTTTGTTTTATAAATGATTAACAGGCCTGAACTTCAGGCTCCTGCAGGCACCCACGGACAGAAGTGTAAACACCAGGTAATCGCTCTGAAGCTAAGGAATAGACAGCATTAGGAGGTCTTTCCCTCCGCCTGTGTCCCTGCCTGACTCCCCAGCAGGTGGGAGGCTGTTCCTGCACCCGGTGGAATATAAGAGGAAGCATGTACTTGGGACAGAGGGACTCTCAAGCAAGGCTTGCTGGCATGCACCCAGGCTGGAAGCTGGCAGGAAGCTTGTGAGCCCCTCAGCAGGCCACAACCTTCTGGGGCGGCTTTCTCCTCCCTCTCATCATGCCTGGGAGCCCCTGCCGTCCTCGCTGTTAAACATTGTCTATCTGGTTTTCACTTAGGCTGGGTCAAGACTCCCGCCTCAGTCATCTGAAGCAGGATGACCTTGCACAGAGACTGTCAGCTGTTCGGGATATTTGTTTTTTGTTTTTTTGTTGGGATATTTGATTTAGTTTGTTTCAGAACTGTTTTGAAATCCGAGGAGCTGGACTTAGAGCAGAGTAACTCCAACTATCTAGGCCCATGACAGGTGGAGCAAATGGGATTTTTAAAACCAGCAGCCTCTGGTCCAGCCTCCTTCTTTTGCAAGCGAGAAACTGCGGCCTCTCTCAAGGTCACAGGGCATCTGGGTGAGAACTAGGGTCCCTGGATCTGCATTCCACAGTGAGGTGGGTGTGGTTCCTGCCAGGTAGTGTTTACAGATGTGCCATCTCAGGGCAAGTGAAGTTCTTCTGAAGTTCTTCGTGTACTTGATTGAGTCGTTTTAAACTTTTCTGCAAATCAAAAGGAGCAACATTTCCTGGGTGACTTCAGTCTTCAGTGCAATTGTCGCTCTCAGCCTGTTCCACCAGTTTTCTGAATGTGGAGTCCTGCAGCTGGAAGACGTCCTGCAGAGGTGCTGGAGCACTCAAACAAGGAAAGAATTCATTTTGGTGCAGCTTATGTTGAGGGCACTTTGTGAGCTGCTGGAGATAACCAGGCATCTTCTGCTGTGTGTCCTGGAGAACTTATGTTCCTCAGTGGAGGTGGGAGCACAAAGGCTAAATGCCTGGCCCCTACCCCTCCATATTTCTGCTGTGGATTTTTCTTTTTAGAATTAGCTCCTGAAAGAATGTCAGTTATTTATTTGTTGGAAAGAAAATTTAGGAAGACGTGCCTGTAGCATTGTCATGCTCTTCTCAAGTCTCTTTTATTAGGCAAGTTTAATGCAGAGATGGTCTTGAAAATATGGGATTCCAAAAGGGCAAAATCTGGAATTTCTAAAACCTGTTAAGATATTTTTAGGTTTTCCCTGGTAAATTGTACTGGCAAGAAGTGCCTGACTCCTTTCTGTCCTTCCAGTACATACTGGCTTGCTTAAAACTAAGACTGTCTGAATTGCACATCATACTCGTGATTATACCTGGGTCTCACAGCTTAAATTAGAAATAAGCTCCAGGTATTTCTTTTATCAAAGGTATTTCTATCTCACTGGTCTATCCTTTATGAGAAGCTTTCACTTCCTGCCCTTTAATACTGTCCCCAAATGTGATCAGTAATAAGGCTTCATGGAATTGAATCTTACCTATGTTAGAAAGATCTTCAGGTTACTGTAATTATCGTGGCAAGGAGGGGCCTCCACAGCCCTGTTTGTGTCTTGGAAAAAGCCAAGTCATTGCCATCTTTGCCAGTGCTTTTTGGGCAGCTCACAGGAGTAATTGCTAATGCAATTTTTTCTCTTTCTGGCCCTATAGTTCTCTATCAACATGCCCTCTTTCTTGTTGCTGGGAGCCATCTGCATCTTCCTGTTTTCCAGAGGTAAGATTTTTTTTGGTGGGGAGTAAAGTATTTGGGATTTGGTTTGCTTCAAATCCTGTTAACTTTTTTTTTTTTTTTTTAGCTACATCCCCAACACCTTTTTGTATTTTTAAATTTTGAGACAGGGTCTTGGTAAGTCACTTAGTTGCCCAGGCTGGGCTCAAACTTGCATTCTTCCTGTGTTGGCTTCCCAGAGTGTTGGGATTACAGGCATGTTCCATTACGCCCAGCTTGATTTTAACTCTAGAGGCGTCTTGACTCCATCTGTGTCTCCACTCCACAGCCGCCTCCCTGCTCTGAACCCCATCACCTTGTGTTCAGACTGCTACTGCAGCCTCTGAGCTGGTCTGCCTGGGTCCAGCGGGTCCTCTTCCAGACCAACCTTCATGTAGCCATTGCCAAATGCAAATCTGATCATGTCTTGACCCTTCTCCGCCCCCACCGCATGCTTCTAAGTGACTTTCTGTCGCTCATAAGAGGTGCTGTCCAATCCTGTCCCGTGGCCATCTCAAGTCCCCAGTGATACCCGCTCTGCCCTTTGTACAACAGCCCCTACTTTTCCAGTCCTGCCTGGTACCTTTGCTCCCTGCCTTCAAAGAGAAACCACATTGCTCTGTTGGTGTCTCCTTGTAATCACACAATGTATGAGCCCCACTCCCTGCGCGCGTCGTGGGATTCCCTCTCCTTGACCTCTTTCCTTTCCCCAAGGCCCCTTGTGCCCCTGTTCCTTCATCTAGCCCCTGCCCTTCCCTGCTGCTGAGCTCAGCCACCCAGCCTTGTTTCCTCTGTGCTCACTCTGGGTCATTGGCAGCGATTAAGCATCTATAAGTAGACTTGTGCCCTTTGATACCCACCATGTGTAGCTACAGAGGGGCTGACTTTTCCAAACATCTCCCCAAGGTTACCACCCCTACTACCTTCAGGCCATTCACTGTTCAGCAATTCCTTGTTCCTAGCATGTTACCCCTGCCTTGGAAGTGTATTTTTCATTTTTATTTAATTTGTGTGTGTGTGTGTTGGGGATGAAACCTAAGGCCTTGCATGTGCCAGGCAATCACTTTGCCACTGAGCTGTCCCCTCAGCCCCAACATCTATTTTTGGAATTGTTACTCATTGCTGATATACCATTATTATAATTTTATCGCTCATATATCATTATTTATAATTTTATAATTTTTCATTTGGTATCAGAATGCAAAATGTATTCCTGCTTGTCTTAGTGACTTTCCTTGTCACTGAGGCACAATACCTGACACCCACAACTGAAAGGAAGAGAAATTCCTGTTGGCTCACACTTCAGCTCATAGTCGGCTGGCTCCAAGGCAGGACAGCATGGCACAGAGGCATAGAGGGGTAGCCGGTCACGTCATGGCCTCCAGGAAGCAGAGAATGAAGGGAGGAACTGGGCAGGGAGAGACGGCCCACGTCCCAGCCCCTCTGATCTGTGCCTCTGGCAGCCCCAGCCTCCTGACGTGACGTCTGGCTGTCGTGCCCCACAATCCAATCACCTTTCGAAAGCCCCAGTTTTGAGCACGTGAGGCTTTGGTAGAGGGGGCCTCCACATGCAAACCGTAACACCTACCTTGCTCTTTATTTATAGTCATTGCACTGAACAGATATACCAGCATTTACGTAGTACCTCTCTGTTTATCTCTAGCACAAGGAAGCCTGAAGAGGGTGGTCTTAATCCATATTTCCCTTCTCTAAAATTACTTTTCCTTCAGGTCTGTTTTCAGTTGTGATAGGGGCTCAATGGGGGTGAGCATTTTTAGGACTCTTAATTCGAAATATATGGTGAATGTTTATATGTTAAAAATGTATTATAATAAAAAATAGATTGCCATTAATCCTCCTGAAAATACTCCTCACTTCAAACTTATCTCATTGGTCTTGCCACTTTTTGAAGTAATTCTGGGAATCTTCTGTGAGTATCTTTACAAAATGTGACAAAAAATACAGTGTGTGTTTCTGCCAAGTGCCATCCCATGGAAAGGCAGGCTTGTGAGAACACAATTGTACGTTAGCATCCACCTTATTCATTGGATCTGGCACCTTGTGACTTCTGGATTTGCCCCAAAGTCAAAATGACCATGAAAGGTAAACATTTTCAATCAGTTCAGAACATCGAGGTAGCTACAATAGCACACCTAAAAATGCATTTAAATTTTCACATTTAAGATAGTACATCTTGTGGTTTGAGTTCAAGCATTCTGTTACCTGTTTGAACATTTCCCCCAGTGGTTTTCTGTGAATCTGTTTCTTCTGTGAATTACCTGTTCATATCCAAGGTTAATTTTTATTGCAAATGTTTTTGGTGAGGGGCTTACAGGGATGTACATAGATACATCCTTGTACAGGCAGAGAGCCGCAACCAGCGGGGGACACAGTTATGACAACTAATTAGGGACCAGGGTCTTTAGAATTACAGGCTCTCTGTAGTCCCCTATATGTTTGTTTTGTTTTTTCAGAGCCGGTATTGAACCCAGGTCCTCATGCATGCCAGGCAAATGTTCTACCACTAAGCTACTGCCTGAGCCCCCTCCGTGTAGTTATAATCTTTGTCTTCAAAATTCCCAAATCTGAATTCAAAGATACCTCATAGAAGTTGGGTAAGAGGGATGTTTCTTTGTCCTATCCATGTGGCAGTTTTTGAAGCGCAGATATCACTGGGCTCCTCCATAGTCCTATTGCCTGCACTGCTGGAGCCTGGTTCTGGTCCCATAACATGGAGGTAAGATTCCTCTCTGTTCCGCCTTGTCATGAATGCCCCTGGTGTCTTCTCTCCTAGTACCCCCATGCCTCCCTCTTCAGAAAGTCCACGTGAGCAAGGAGACCATTGGGAAGATTTCGGCTGCCAGTAAAAGTAAGCAGCTTTTACTTATCCTTCCAGACACCCATTCAGACACCCAGGAGATAGACCCGGAGGAGACCGTGTTACTTCTGAGAATTTCCACCCCACTCTCAGCTTTCTTCGGGCTGTCACCATATTCACCTTCCTCAAACAGGGGTCTGCTGGTAAAAACAACCTCTGCAAACCGCACCCCCCCACCCCATTTTAGTATTGAGGATTTAACCTAGGGCCTTCACATTGAACTGTGTCTCCAACCCTTTATACATTTTTTAAAATTTTGAGGTAGGGTCCCACTGAGTTACAAAGTGCCCAGGCTGGGCTTGAACTTGCTGTCTTCCTGCCTCCAACTCCGAGTGCTGGAATTACAGGCATGCACCACCATACCCCATTCTGTATAAATCTTTTCTCCTGAATTTCTTGGGCTGCACCTCAAGACCCTCTACTACCTGACCATCATCTACCTAGCCACCTCATCTCCCACAATAATCCCTCTTCTGCCTTTCTAGTCAGCATCTCTCCACATGCTCAAGCCACACCAGCATTCCCACACGCTTTGCCTGTTCCCTCCTTCTCTGGAGAAAACCCTCATCATCTACCAGCTCCAGTGCTGCCCTCTGGGGGCCATCTCTGCTGTGCTTCTCTGACTCCTGCTCCCTTCCTGCCTCCTGGTGAGCTGAGTGGGGGCAGTGGAGTGGAGTCAGAACACTCTGGGTTAGATTTCCAGTTCCACCGCTTCCAGATACCTTGCCCCTAGGGAAATTACTGACTTATTCTGTGTTCTGCTTTCCTCATCTGTCCAGGTGAGTAAAAAATAGCAAATCTCCTTAGGATTCAGGTGAGTATTTTGATGGTAGGTGTTAACTTTTCATTGCTGTTACCAGATACCTGAGAAGAACAACTTAAAGGAGGACATGTTTATTTTGGCTTATGATTTCAGAGGTTTCAGTCCATGGTTACTTGGCTCTGTTGCTTCTGGGTCCATGGTGAGGCAGAAACATGGCAGGGAGCATGTGGTGGGGCAAAGCAGCTCACCTCATGGTGGATAGAAGGAAGACAGAGGGAAAGAGCCGGAGGGGAAGAGGGGCCAGAACATGATACAGTCCCTGAGTTCACACCCGTGATGATCCATTCCCTTCAACTAACCCATCACCTCCAATAATGTCATCAGTTTATGATCTCTTCATAGATCAGTTGATGATCTATCTCTTCATCCACAGATGAAGTTAAAAGCCATCAAGGTCCAATCACTGCTCTAGGGCCTACCCCTGCACATGACTGCACTGGGGATCAAGCCCTCTTTGGAGGATGCATCATCATTGAACCACATCAGGATTGGAAATAGCTAAGAAGTACACAGTTCTTTCTGGAGATGATGCAAACTGCTCTACAGTTGGCTGTCGTAATGAGGGTGTGCATATGTGAATGTGCTAAAGACACTGAACTTGCCAAGTGTGGTGGTGCATCCCTGTAATCCCAGCTCTCCAGGAGACCGGCAAGAAGACTGCACATTGGAGCCCAGCCTGGGCAACTTCTCTGCTTAGCAAGACCCTGCCTCCAAATAAAACATTAACAAAGGGCTGGGGATGTAGTTGAATGCAAAGGCCTTGGGTTCCATCCTTAGTACCTCACAAACAATGAATCGTACACTTCAGATGGTGAATTTTGTGGTATAGGAGCAATTTTCAAAGAAATGAAAAAATAGTAACTGGTCTCACTGTGGCTATGAGTTAAATCAGCACAGCTAGAGTGTCTCAGGTGGCACTAGAATGGAGAAAATGTGCATCCGGTGCTTGCTACTTGAATGTCTGGGTAACAGGGCCTCATGAGGAGGCCGGTGTCCTGGACTAGATGGGCTGGCCATCTAGTAAACTCCTCAGAGAGCTCAATTAGTGTGGCTGAACTTGTGCTTCAGATGGGCCCAGGCATGAGTCTTTAGTTCACCCACACCTGTCTCACTCTTCCTAGTGATGTGGTGCTCAGCCGCCATGGACATCCTCTTCCTGTTAGATGGCTCTCACAGTGTTGGGAAGGGGAGCTTTGAGAGGTCCAAGCACTTTGCCATCACAGTCTGTGATGCTCTGGACATCAGCCCTGAGAAGGTGAGTATAAGTCTTTTCTATCATTGTATTTGGGTATCTTTGTTTGCAAGTGACAGAAATCCAATTGTAAACAGAGTGAACTTACAAGCTGTGGAACTGGAAGTCCAAGGGGCAAATCCTAAGCATGGTGGCATACATGGGTCCAGTGGATTCCTTCTTTTTCTCCCTTCCATTGTGCTTTTTTTGCTTGACTTCCTGGTAGATTTTCTTCACATGGCAAAGATACTCTGCACTGTCCTTCAAGCTAGTGATAGCAGGAAAAAAGAAATCCTTGTGGATCTCAAAGAATTCCCAGGAGAGTTCTAGCTGGGCAGGCGTAGGCCACATGACACACCTTGGCTAATCACAGTAGCAGGGGAAGACCCTTTGGTCAGACCTGAGCCAAGTGCTTATACATGTTTTGGGTATAAAGAGGGTTCCCCATTGGAAGCAGAGGCTACATTTGCAGAACAATGGGAAAGGTGACACATTGAGAAGAGTCTCCACACACAGTCCTTTCTGTTTCCTTGAAAAGATCCCCTCCTGCCTGACTGAATCCAGACAGAATCTTCATTTCTTGGCCTTCCCAACTTCAAATAGTAGGTCTTAAATGTCAGCAGAGTGCGGTATGTATGGCTTTTGTTTTTAAAAGGGACAGTTTTGAGCAACCCAGCAGAAGGGGCCAGGAACACTGACAGTTCCCAAAAAACGAAACCCGAATGGCCTGCGGAAACCTCCCTCAGAGCAACAGCAGATCTCCCACTGACAGTGCCATTTTTGACTTACTGATTTGGAAAAATCTAAAATTTATTGATATGTGCCACTGGCAAATCTTTAAGAAACTGGTTTTCCCCTCACAATGACAAAGGCTTGGACTCTCTGACCCAGCCATTCCACTTCCACTTCTAGAATTGATTCTGTAGATATTTCCCCCCATGCAAAGTAACACCCACACAGTTATACAGTGCCTTGCAGTATTATTTGTAATTGTAAAAGATTTCAGGAAACCCAAATGTGCATTGATCGGGAACAGGTAAATCCATTCCAGTGCGTTCACATAGTGAATCATGGGGCAGCTGCTGAAAGTGAGTAAAAGACATTAGAGCAAATTGAATGTAAAAAGTAAGGTGCAGATGACATGGAGAATATGTTGCTTTTATGTGAAAATGAAGGGAAATGAATGAAATCTGTATTTGTGTTTGTATAAAGAAAGGGAAGGCTAAGGGAGTGGTTCCTGTTGCAGAGGAGAGAGTGAGCTAAGCAGGTAGAATACAAGTCAAGGGGGGGAGACCCAGCAGTATAGGTCGTTTTATACTTTCTGGATTTTGAACCATCTGAACCTTTGCCAAAACTAAATACAAGATTAGGGGCATTTTGGCCTGGAAAGCTGTAATTATTTGAATTACAGATGAGGTACATATAGGTTGAGGAAGGAAGTGGTGCCATTCCTGAGTTAATCCTGGTAAAACCTGTAGGATTTAGGAGCAAACATGGCTTTTAAGGAGGGCCGGGTTTGCTCCAGGCTGGCCTGTCATTTGGGGAGTGTGTGCACTTTCCCCAGGACTTCAGACACTCTTCCAGTCATCTGCAGACACCTGCAGACACTACAGTGGGCTTTATTTTGTCCAACCACAAGCAGCTAGTTCTGAGCATGATCTAAACCAGCATGGACCCCAAAAGGCCAGGGCAGAAGACTGCTGAGTCTCTGCCCTCTCCTATACAGGGCTTTTCTTTTAAAGTGACTCCTTACAAAGTTTACTGGTGATTCCTGGAGGAAGTGGCAAAAGTATTACTGTATTGGTATTAATGTAGTGTATCCTGAAATGAGCGGTGTACAGACCCCAGGGGATGGCAAGTTGGAAGAGAAGAGCTGTGTGAATTGCATGTTTTGCAGGGGAGGAAATGGCCTCAGAAAAAAAGGCTTAAGTCACTGCCTAGGGTTGCACGGCAATCTCAGGCGAGAGCTAAGTGTGGAAGACTCAGGGCTCTTGATTCTCAGCCCAGGACTTGCTCCATTAGGCCCTGTGTCATTCCCAGGGGATAACCTCTGAGGTAGGGTGAGGTAATGGCATTTGGAAATCACACCCTGCTACCACACAGCAAGTGGACAGCCAGCAGTGTGGCAGCGTGGAGGAAGGTGACTGGACAGTAAGAAAAACATGTCAGGAGTCTTTATGGCTGATGCTGTTAGGAGCAGATGATCAGAGTTTAGGAAATTTAGCTTCAGTATTGCTGGATCACATCCAGAATGTGGCATCGAGTTCAAGGGCTGATTTTTAGGTTTGATATTGGAAAAATAGCTCATCATAGAGCCAGGAGAGGGACACAAACCTTCATATAGGAAGGACCCTCGTTATCATTTTCATGCAAAAGAGTGAAATACGGCTCTGTTTTATTGTGAGGGCAGAATCTAGGTGTTTAGGGAGTTTGATCTGGGCTTAACTTCAGAAAGATTTTCTTGTAGCGGGACTCGGAGAGCAAAGGAGTTGGGTGATTATTTGGCTCAGTGAGTGTCTGATCTCTAGGGTGTGTGAACAGACCATTTGCTGCTGTAGAAGGGTTTGTGTGTCCGGGAGTTTAAGATAGCTCTGATCTGTGGCTTCAGGCTTTATTTTGTTTATTTCTTGTGGTGCTGGAGGTGGAAGCCAAGATCTCCTGCATGATCTACTTGCCCAGCCCAAGGTTTTACATTTTTACTGCTGCACTTTTGTGTCTCAATTTTGTTGTCTCCAGGTACAAAGGATTTGATTTGTACCTTGTTGTGCTTTCTGTAACTTTAGTCGTCAGGAAGCAAATTTCCAGTAGCTTTAATGAAGGTCTTTTATGGAAGCTTTGTTGTTGAGGTGGATTGAAGGTGTTTGAAGTCTTCCCCTTCACACTTAAAAGCTGAGAAGTTCGTTTCCTGGCTCTAATAAAGGATTGCAGCAGAGAGATTGCAGTGTGGTGAGAAATCTGGGCGGGCTTCCTTCTGAGCGTACAGTAGACTGAAGATAAAAGGCAGCTATTTTGATCCCAAACCACCAATTAAATTAAATGCCTTAACTACTGACTTAGGCTATTTCCTGCATGTTTTGTTTTGAAGTTGTGTCCTTCCTGTTTAACCCAAGTAAATAGACTCAGGTGTTGGTCTTAATGGAGTTGTTGTTGTTGTTTTAAAGTAAGTAATTCATGCACATGGTTCAATAAAAAGACGTATAGGGAAACCTTTCACCCACATTTTCCATTAGCCAGGTCTCCTGCCTGTTGCTCTCTAGAGTTGCTTAATGCAGATACAAGCAATATGAGTACACATTCTTATTTTCCCCTTTTAACAAAAAGGGTAGCATAGTCTCTACAATAACTTTTTTTCCCTACAGCTAATTATGTCCCATCCTGAGCATTTACTGAGGTTTAATAGCAAACCCCTCTACTGGTGGACATTTGCTATTGCAAATTGTGTAGCATGATCTTGTAAATATATTGTTTCACATACGTGGAAGTATGTCTGTAGATAAATTCCCAAATACCCTGCATTTTTAATTTTTAATAAACATTGTCATGGATGCTGTACAGATTCACATTACTACCAGCAGTGTTTGAGAATGCTTATTTCCTTTTGCATTGCATCTAGATTTTTTGGCTAAACTGACATGGAAAAATGATATCTTTTTATGAAGAGGTCAAACCCCTTTCCATTAAAAAGCCATTTGTATTTCTCATTCTGTGATCTCTTTTTATGTCCCATTTTCTTTTCATATCTCATAGCCCATTTTCTGTTGGGTTTTTGGTCTTTTATATATCAGTTCCTAGACATTATTTTATGCATTGAAGAAACAAACCTTTCACTCCCAAAGATAGTTGCAAATAATTTTTCCATTTTATCTTTTTTTATTGTATAAAGGTGTGCTTTGCTGTATAGGAATTTTTAGGGTTTTTTTTTTTCTTCTTCTTCAGCTAAGTCAGATATTTTTCTTCAGAAAAGTCCTAGATTTCTTTAGGTAAAGTCAGTCTTTATAGCTTCCAGATTTTAAGTTAAAGTCTTTTGTACTGTCAGGTTAGAAAGGAATTCTTCCAAGAATTCTTCTAGAACGTTCATGGTTAGGTTTTTCACCTTAAATCTTGGATCCATTTGCAGCTTAGCAGTAATGTACATACAGCTGGTGGCTACCTGGTTGTGCTGATGTCACTTGCTCACTAGACCATCTTTTCCCACTGCATGGAGATGCCCCTTTTTATCCATGCACTAAATTCAAGGAAAATCTTGGAAGGGTTCTTACTTGGGAACTCCTTCCTCAGTTTGTCCACTTCTCTGTCTTCCATTATTCACCTCTCCATGTGTCCACCCAAGACTTAAATTCCTTCCTAGCTAAGGCATTCCTCAGCTCCTCCTCAGGATGCCCTGCCCATTGACAGTTCAGAGAGCCGAGGGATTTGGCTCTTTGTCTCCCAAGCAGCAGGCCGGTTAAAGGACTGCAGTGGGGAATTCAAGTAGGGAGCAAAAGGCCACGTAATTGCTTAAATGTGAACCACATGGCCTGGCTAAAATTTGGGCCAGAACTTGTTTTAGTTACGAAAGTAGTTACTGAGACTGTTGTTTCCCCAGGGGACTTGGAGAACCAAGAATTAGGGGCAGGATGTGGGCCCTCAACAGGAAACCTGGATGTTTGTAGCCTTCACTGCTTTAAGACACAGAATGACTTAGTTTCCCTTCTCCGTTTTTGAAAGGCATAGGGTTTTCTCTCATGGCCTCTTCAATTAGGACTCAAAATCTATTTGGATTTACTAGAGCTCTCGCTTCCATTGCTTGTCTCAGTTTGAGGGGTCTGATTGTCCCCGGGTCTGATGCTGGTCTAGAGACACCTAGCCTTTCTCTAGCTTGGCAGGAGCAAGCCTGGATGGAATGAGCACCCAACAAAGGACAGGAAGCAAATGGCAGCTGTAGCTAGTGATGAGCCACCAGTGATGACAGCTGGGGTTGCTTCGGAGGATCCCAGTAGCTGGCCATGAAGCATTTTGCTGAAGGGCTGAGTTGACTTCAGAGAAGGCGAGCAGTAGGGAAGATCAGAGAGCCCAGAGTCTTAATGTCCTGGCCCCTTTCTTGGAGGAAGCCTTTGCCTTGGGCCAGTTTTGTGTCCACTGCACATTTTAGCCTCTCCGCAGCAATGTAGGCGTTAGTCCTGCCTCTGTGGATGAAATAAGGTAATGTATGAGATTCCACACAGTAGTGCCTGGGAGGCAGTTGGCCAGTGTGTACGGAGCTCTGCCCTAAAGCTGCTTGCAGCTCGGCTGAGAAAGTTTCCAGAATGTACTGCCTTTGGGGGATATGGGTGAAGATTTATTGGGGGCTATCAGTACAGAACACAGGCAAATTTGACTGTTTCCTTCCAGATTCTCCAACTGGTAAACTCTGGCACTGGTATTTGTTGGATGGCCACGAGGCAGGGTTGTCGCCCCTTTTCCTCTTTGGAATGCTTGTAATATGACTCCAGTCTTGGCCCCCTGGGGCCACTGCCTCCTTTTGCAGGTCAGAGTGGGAGCATTCCAATTTGGTTCCATGCCTCATCTGGAATTCCCCTTGGATTCATTTTCAACCCGACAGGAAGTGAAGGCACAAATAAAGAGGATGGTTTTCAAGTATGTATGATTGGATACTGCCATAGTAGAATGAAGCCAGTGCTCTTAAAATTGTCCCTTTCAAGGAAGGCCAAGCCATATGCTCAGCTTTACTGAGAGGACCATGGGCCGCTCCTTGACCCCACTGTGCATAGTGGGTAATGAGAACTCCCTTCTCAAGGCTGCCCTTCATCATTACATAATGTCCCAGGTGGTAATTTAAATGCTAGTTTATAAAAAGAAAGGATTTGCTGCTATTGTGTCAGTTCCATGGAGAGAGAGCTTTTGAAGGTCCACGTCGGGTGAGTATGTTTCCTCTGGCTCAGACCACCTGTAATACATGCCTGACTGTCCCATCGGGTGGTAGAAGTATCCTGAATGTGTTAAGAGCGTACGGTTGGGGATTTAGCTCAGTGGTTCCGGCGCCTGCCTGGCAGGCGCAAGGTCCTGAGTTCTATCCCTGGTACCAAAAAGAAAAAAGCATGTTGTAGGAGAAGAGGGCTGGGTCATAGTCCTAGTTCTGTCAGAGGTGATCTCTGCCACTCGAGTGGTTCACTACACTTCTGTGAGCCTCATTTCTGCGATCTGAAAAGAAATTAGTGTGAGCAGGCGCTCTGTTATGTGAATGCTTTCAAACTTATAAATAGCTGTTTATATGCTCAACCATGTACACACCCTATAAATATATGTACATGGAGGCATCTGGCCTCGGCTCATTTGACAGATCGGCTGACAAGTTATATGTCAACACTTTTAAATTAAAGTGTGTAGTCTCTGTGCTCATATGTACATATATGTGTTTTAATTGTATGTGTATTATATATGCACACATCATTTATAGGTATCTGAATATGCATGTGTATATGTGCACACACACTTACATTTTTCACAAGTCCTAACAGAAAAAGGGACTTTGACTTGTTACTTGCCACACTGATCTTTTTGTTACTAGGTTCTGGGGTGCTGGAATCTCCTTTTAGAGGTGATTTCTAGGTCCTTTCCATCCCAGACAAAGAATTGAACAAAACAAGCAGAAATGATGCTTTAATAACAGTGAAATTCCAAAGGTAGGAAACGAACAGAAGGGTAGGAGAAGAAAGGGCTCTGCAGAATGAGTTTAGGTTGAGAAAAAAATAAACAATACCCCCTACAGTGTAGGTGTGCTACTGTGAAGAGGCGAGATAGCCAGTGCTTAATGGTGACTTTCTCTCTCTCATACTTGCCACGATGGACTCATGTTTAGGTCATCCTATCTCAGACCTGCTCCAGTTCTCTCAAGTCTACATGCAGCATTTTGGGAACTGTCGTGCACGTGTGTTCTGGGATCTTGTCACGCCTCCTTTCCCACCTAGTTTTAGCCGTGCCCTCCCTTCCTGACTCATTTGGAGCTGCTCTGGTTTCTGCTACCCTTGTGCCAGTATCCAGGGAAGTCCTGCTGAGGTCTGTGGTCCCAGCTATTTGTGGCTGTCACCTCCAGGTGGCAAGGCCTTGAGGCCTGAGATCCTTTTTCCAGTTGTTCTCAAGAAATCCAAGGTCGCACACTGGTCACTGCTGGAATCTGAGGACCCTAGAGACCCCAGGGAGCCCTAGAGACCCTCCGTAACTTAGACTGTCTATCCCAGTCTGTCCCTCTCACTATGGGTGCCCAGGACCGGTCATAGGAAAGAAAGTACAAAGGGAAAAAGCACATCAGTATGGTTTTAAAATTATATATTACTACACATTGGCCTTTCCTTTTTCCTTAGGGGTCTTCTGCCCTTGGGGCCTCCAAGAATTGCTCTCGTACAGAGGATAGTCTTAGTCCTGCTCTGTATTCTGGGCCCAGACCCACAGTGTAGCACTTGCCAACAGGAGGTCTTGGAGCCACCTGGGTTAGAGTGGTCAGGGAAAAGGGCCCAGTACAGATGCTGAGATCCTAGCCAGGTGTACTGAGTCACATTCTGGGCTGGGCTGTGGTGCTTAGGGGTCTGGAGTTTTATAATGTCTCTCTGCCTCTTTCTCTAGGACTGTAGCACATACTTTGGTTTAAAAGCCTTTTTGACATAATTTATACACCACAGGGGCCGGGGATTTAGCTCAGTGGCGCCCCACCTGCCTCATAAGCATGGGGTCCTGAGTTCCATCCCTGGCACACCCCTCCTAAAAAATATATATATATACACACCATGAAATTTACACATGTACAGTTGAGTGATTTGGGGTATACAATAACACCTTGGTTCACAAACTTAATTTGTTGCACAATTCGGGGGAAGATGGCTGCAGTCATGTCACCTGATGCAGTTTGTGAACAGAAGCAAAGTCTTGCTGAATGCTTCTGTTTGTGAACCAAATTGTTTGCGAACAGACACATTTGTGCACTGAGACATTACTGTATTTACACAGCCATACAACTAATTGTTTAATATTTTTGTCAACTCAAACCTTTTAAAGGAGATATCCTTTATAGTAGATAAACAGCTAATAATTACACGAAAATAGGCTCAATAACACGAGTTAAGGAAAAGCAAATCAGAACCACAATGAGATGCCATGTAACACCGACTAGTATGGCTGAAATAGAAGACAAATAGTAACAAGTGTTGGCAAGGATATGGAAAGACTGGAACCCACATGTATTGGTGGTAGAATTGTGAAGTCACGCTTGCCACTTTGAAAATGATTTAGTAGTTCCTCCAAATGTTAAATACAGAGTAGCATATGACCCAATAATTCCATTTCAAGAGAATTGAAAGCATATGCCCACATAAAAACTTGTACACTAGTATTCATAGTAGCACTAATAGTAACAACTTCTAGATAAAAGCAACACAAATGTGCAGTTGATCACTGGATAAAAAAATGTGGTCTAGTCATACAACTAAATATTATTTAGGCATAAAAATGAGTATTGATTCATACTGCTTCATAGATGAATCCTGAAAAAATGTTAATTGAAGGAGGCCAGTAGCAAAAGGTCATATTCTGTATGTTTTAATTTATTCTTTTTTTGCAATACTGGGGATGGAACCCAGTCTCTCACATTGCTAGGCGAGTATTCTACCACTGAGCTATATCCCCAGCCCTGTACTCAACAGTATTTTACAGAGTTAACTATCAAAAGATTAACAAAGCTTTGTGGTTATACTAGTAAAGATATAGGGTTTGGGAATGGGGGAATGCAAGAGGAAAACTTCCTGAAACCTTAAACTCTATGATATGAGGAGGAGGAAAGAGAGGTGGTACAAAGGATCTTATTAGGCAGTAGAAGGGTGTTTATAGAATTAGATAATGGTAAGAGGAGGGGCTGATGAGAAATAGAAGATAAAAGAAAAAGGGAGGAAAAACTATATAGAAACTAAAAATTAGAAAAAATTAAAGGAAGAAAAATTAAAAACACAAAAAGAGAAGCAAGGATAAAGGACAAAGGAAAATTCCCAAGCCTCAGTAAATTGGTGAAAAAGAAAGGAAAGAAAATAGAATAAGGAAAAAAAAATTCTCTGTGATTTTGAATATATGGTTTTCTTCAGGCATCTACAGTTTTATGGCAGTGTCCAATTCAAGACCTGTCCCTGCTCACACTGGTAGATAAAAAAGGCAGTCAGCCCCTGGATCCGGGATGGATGCAGTCACCACAGGCAGTAGGATTAGAGGACAGGCACCAATTCTGCAGCTTTCAAATCCAGAGCGATTCAGGCTGAGCCTGGCCCCTGGCTGTGGGAGTGGGCCTGAGTCCTTTTGCTTAAACCCCTCAAGGAGTCTCTTGCAAGCCCGACAGTGGCTCCCTGACCACTGCTGTGTCCTGTGGCTGTCCCTCACCCAGGTCACTGTAGGAGAATAACACTGAGCCCTGAAATGCAGCCAGCCTGTGGGTGCTGTGAGCAGGTTCAGTCAACCCCTTCCTGGAATCTTGTCTGACCAGGCACTCTTTCCGGGAATATGGCGGACATTTGGCCTGGAATCACTCACCAGCCTTGCAATTCGCAGCACCTGCCAGTCCATTCCACTGCTGCATTTCTCCCTGGAGCTCTCTGTAGTGTGGCCCCCGCCACGTCACTTTGTCTGTGTGGATTTGGTCTTCCTTTCTCACAAGCCACAAGCCGGATGCTGGGGAGAAAGTGTAGATCGTCCGTTCCTTTTTCTGCATTGTGTTCTGTTTCTTTAATTTCTCTGTAAGCTCCAATTTTCCCATCTGATCCTTCCCAGAAGTCTCTGCTGTGTATACTTCATAGGGTGAATTTATGATATATAAATTATATCAATAAGGTGGTCATAAAAAAATCTGTATCCATTACATGCACATTGCATTTAATGTGCATCTGCAGAAGAAAAAGTAGCTTGACTAGTTTAAATTTAGGACTAAAAATCAAAGATTGTTTGGATGACTTTGATTCAAATGATTCATCTGAAAACCAAGAATTGAAAACTAAGAACACACTAGAGATCCTCTGGTATCTATTCTAACACTGTAGTTTACAGAGGAGGATACTAGGTCCCACCCAGCTGACTTTCCCACCCCCACCCCAGAAAAGAAGTTAAATCTCTTTTCAGCTGCATTGAGAGAGTCAGCTAAAGGCTTGAGTGTTATTCATGATGTATAAAATCTGGAAATACACTAAGAATGTGCAGGCAAGAATGCTGGGAGTTGAAGCCTCCATTTATCTGAAACAGTCCAGCTCATCTTTTGGAGTTGTCTGTCCCTTGTGTGACTATAAGAGGCAACAGACAAGGCAAGGAGAGAGTAACTCATTTTTGGCCACAGTCCTGGGGTCACTGAGGACACTAAAAATGATGACATGCTCCTACACTTCGGAGCGGAGGAATGTTGGCCAGAGAGGAATGATGACTTCGCCACACACTTTACCCTTTATTTACAGTGAAGTTTTCAATGCTGGACTAGTCAGGAAAGCTCTGTCTACACTCAAGATCCACTTGCCTTTCCAGATGAAGCCCATCCTCCGAAAGTGTGGTTAAGAAACCACCCTGACAGCTGTCTTACTGATACCTTGGAGGAAGTTTAAAAAATATTCCAGTCAAGCCTCTCAATATCCCACCCCATGATGATGTAAAATCAGATGAAAAGCATAGCTGACCATTGGCTCCTGGGTGTCAGAGCTGGTGGCCGGCTAGCATGCCCAGGCTTGCCTGTTCCCTGCATTCATCTCATGGTAACACAACTCAGAGTTTTCTGTGACTGGATTGTCTACACAATCCCTCACAGTAGCTTTGTCAGGACTCTGTAGCTCTCTCACCACTTTAGTATAGAACCTTTTAGAACCTTCTTTAGACCCTTTCAAGCTGCATTAACATTTGAACATAGCTTTTAGAATGGTTAATTACAAGGCATTTTGTATCTATTTGCTTAATATTATTTGATATGCACTCCATAAAGCTGAATTATTTTCATGTTGATTCATTTTGATGATTATATAAGAATCGGAAGAATTTGGCTACTACAGTGCATTTAATCATTCTCATTCTTCCAAAAGGAAACCTTTAGGTTGATTCCAAGCTTTTTGTCAACTGCTTTTTAAAAAAAAAAAAGCTATAATTGATCTCCCCGAATATAAAAGGAATTTCTTATGACGTGTTTTTCAAAGGCTATTCCATGGCTGGCTCATTTGCCTCAGAATCCATTGAGGTGGGCAGTGCTGCTTTAAAATATACATTTTCAGGTCAGTTGCACACTTGCCAATTTGGATTTCCTGGGAATTAAATCTAAGTCTATTGTAAGTCTCATGAGGGATTTTTAAATGTGCATTAGAATTTGAGACTATACTCTAAAGATAAACTACTTGTAGGCTGCAGCTTTGTTCATAAGATAACTACCACTAATGGCACATTGGTAAGGTCCCAAGGCAGTGGTGGTGAACCTGTGACACACATGCCACAGTGGGCTGTTATCATTGAAAGCTCTAAAAGATTCGCCATCACTGTCCTAGGAGCTGCTTGACACAGCATTTCATCTTCAGTCAAATGCTACCCATAGAACTAATATCTGAGCCCCTCTCAGGAGCCCCTGTTCTTAAACACTTGGCTACACAGATAACAAAAGATTAGATTCTATTCCCCATGCCCCCAGAAAAGTGGCATGGCAAACATAATAACCCCCTAGACAGTAGCCCATCTGTAAACTTCCAACTTTCAACCTAGTTTAGTCCCATTTGAACAGAATTGGGAAAATCTTGGTGTGTTGACTTCAGACCCTCCCTGTTCAGAGCCAGCCCCAGATCTCAGAACAGACTGGGAGATAGAAATGTCCCATGGGATAAATAGGCACATTTCTTCTCACTGGCCAGAGGTCAGAACCCTTAGGAGTTGAGGCTGTCCTTGGCTGGAAGCCTGCAGAAATGCTCCCATGGGAGAGGCTGCAGAGGTGGAGAGGCCAGGCTGTGTAGGTGTTCGTGTGCTGAGCCAGGTGAAGGGTGGACACTGTCAGGCTCATGCAGTGGGTGGCTTGGAACCTCATGTCCTTGAAATTTAACTTGTGTCTAATCACAGGCTGGTGGCTATGAAGAGGCCTAGACCTACTCAGAAAATGTGGACTGAGAGTTTAATACTCTAATGCCTTAGGCATATAATGAATTTTGTATGTTCTTTTCCCTGTTAAAAAAGAAAAAAGAAAAGAAACTTTAGGTTGAACCCAAGATTTCCCCTGCAGGTGGTACATGGGAAAGAAAAACAGTAACTCTGAAGGGGGGTCCAGGGCAGACCTGTACGAGAAATGGGAACAAGGTCGTCATAGAGAACAAGTTCTTTTCCTTTTGGCCCTGAAGCTTGGCATCTGTATGAGGAGCAGTAGTGATCAGATGGGCCAGGAGGCAAGGGATGACTGGGGAGAGCCTGCCCAATGCCTGTGGGGTAGACGTGCTCCTTGGCTCCTGGTTGGGGCACTTTGGTTTCTGGGGAGAAAAGAGTTTTGTGAGCATTTAGGCAGAGCAGTCTGGAACAAAGGTCGGCAAATATTTTCAGTTAAAGCTTATATAGTAAATAATTTTAACCATTTGCAGGCCATGTAGTTTCTGCATAGGCAGCATATTAATTATTGGAAGTGGCTATTTTCCAATAAAAGTTTATCTATAAAATGGGTGGCAGACTGGATTTGGCTCATAGGCTATAATTTGCTGATGCCTGGTATTTTTGTTTGTATCCAGATGTCCCCCTAAAACCTATGCCATCATAGAAAGGTGATTGGATTATTGGGGGCTTATAGCTGACTTGCTGTTAGGAGGTGGGGCCTGGTCCAAAGAGGTAGGTTATTGGGAGTGTGGTCTGGAAGGGCTCATCTCCCTCCCTGACTCCTTTCTCCCACTCTGCTTCCCTGCCATCCTGCATGAGCTTGCCTCTGCCATGCCATTCTGCCTTGGAGCCAGAGGACTATGGACTGAAACTTGAGCCAAAATAAACCTTTCTTCCTCTAAGTTGTAGGTTTTGGGTATTGTCTCAGTGACAAGGAAAGTAACTAAGATACCTAGAGAGGAAAGCATTGGCTTTAAAAATCAGCCTATGTGGGTTTAAATTCCAGTTCTGACCTCCACTGGGTAGGTGAGAAGCCAGTAGCTTGACTACCAAAATGACCAGACAGTTAAGGATTTGGGCTGTGGGAGTAAAGGGCCTAGGATGTGATTATTGCCTGGTAAGAATTACATGAGCATGTGCAAAGTGTGTGGGTGTGTGTGCGCATATGTGTATGCCTGTACATGCCTGTCACACAGAGCCTGCACACAGTCAGTCAATATTAGCAGTTATTACTGGTATTCTCTGAGCAGGGGCTCCCCCTCTGTGTAGTGAGGGGGATATTGGCACCTTTCACCCTAGTTGTAAGGATTTTATTCAGGAACAGGTACTGAAGTTCTGATACACGGTCGAAGCTCAGCGCTAGTGTGATCCCTTACACTTGGGAGACAGTCTGCTCTTCCAGGAGCCTGGGTGGGTGGAAGACCCTGCAGACACAGAGCTTTTAGTATTCATGAGAATAGGAACCTTCTCGGTTGTCTTTGGTGTCTAAAGTCCGATCCAGCACAAGGTGGAAGGAGCTGGTCACATTTGGGGCTCTCTGAGGAAGGGGCGCTGTATTGCTCTGTGATAAGCCCATTGCCGAAGCCAAGCTCTGTTCAGTAGCCCTGGACACAGCCTGTGTTTCTTGCTTGTGTCTTTGCTTCGCCTCTTCCCCTTATCAGCACGGCTCTCTCCTCTGAGTCTACTCGTTTACCCAGACCCCTTCAGACGCACTTTCCCCTCTGCAGCCTCTCCCCTCCAGCCCCACCCCACAAGGAACTCCCTCCCCAGACTACTTGAGATTCTCATTTTTGCATGGGTATTTCTTCACCTGCACTGGGAGTTCTTTGAGGGGTGAGATGATGTTATACTTCGTGGTTTCCATTTTACCATCCTCCCTCTAGTGACCCACAAATACTAGTGGGTTGAAAAAAAGTAAGCGGTTTTAAATCGATGGAATTGCTGTCGTATATTGTAGGCCAAGAGTTAATTCTAGGAGTTGTCAATTCTTGTTGACATTTATTAACTTAATGAAGCTCTACAAAGAGAATTGCCCTTTCAGAGCTTGCATAATAGCAATAAAGGTGAAGAATATTCTAGACTGGGTCTATAAATCCTTCCAAGGCACAATCTACATGCTCTGTTCCCATCTCGCTGCAAAATGCAGAGAACTTTGAGGACTGGGAGGAAGGTGGAACCACAGAATGAAAGAGCCTGGATGCCTGAGTAACTGCTTGGAAGAGAGCTAGCCAGGGGAGATGCCTGGACGGGAGGTCTGTGCTAGATTTGCATGAAAAATGAATGTTTTCAGTATCAAGTTAAAGCAAAACAACACCCAAAGACTCACAGAGTATGGTGCCCAGGCTTCTTGTTAGTTGGATGTTTTTACTTAAAGGAATGTCTATAGGTCCCTCCAAAGGGGCTGAATTAAAGGCAGGCATTGTCCAAATCAATAGACTACAATTGAGCATAAATGTGGGTCCCCCTCTGTAGTCTGTGGCTAGTGGTTCAGAAACTTTTTTGCATGCATATAGTTAATTGTCAGAGTGATTCTGTTAACCCTCACACTGTCACTTGTGTTTGGATGTGCTATCTTCCCGCTGAGCATCTGGCCAGGGTGGGATGACAGCTCAGTAACTTCAGATCTATCTAGTGAGCTTCTGTTTTCTGCCCAACTGGCTCAAAGCCAGCAGTCTTTTTTGTTTGTTTGTTTTCTGAGAGGAACAATTTTCTTGAGCTTCTGTTTCAAAATTGAACAGAAATCATGCTCTGAGATTCCAAGCCCAGGCAACAGTCCCTACAGTGGGGCTGTGAGGATTAGAAGATCTTCAGAGCCCTTGGCAAATAGAGGATCATTGGCGTTGGACCACTGTCACCTGAGCTGTCGATGGTTGGACAGCTTAGGCTTCCAGCTCCCAACTCTGGCCCTGGATATGGCCCGCCAAGGTTGGCATCGTGGATCCTTACAACAAAGCCTGCCCATCGCTCTTGCAGATTCTTGGCACAGTTTTCCTAAGCTCAGCTGTCTGCATCCACAACCCCAGAAGATGAACCATGACAAGAGGAGGCAATGGTGGTGATTCATGGATGGGGAGGTGAGGGGTGGGTGTTAAACAAATGATGAATTGTCAGCCTGGAGTCATCACTGGGTTTGGGGGAGAAAATAACACAGCTACAAAGAGTGGCATTGTTTCATATCACAACTGAGATGTGAGGGGGAGCTCAAGTCCAAGGAAGGAGTTAATTTGTGGCTGCCGTTGTGGTTTAGAGCACGAACTTGTCACTTTGAGCCCCTGCTGGGAGTCAGCCATTCCCAGGAACAGGATCAGGAACAAGCTCTGTTTCCAACTTCACCTCCCACCTCATTGCCTTCTTTTTTCTTTCTGGATGCACTCAGCGGGGGACGCACGGAGACAGGCCTTGCCCTGAGACACCTTCTTCGCAGAGGATTCCCCGGGGGCAGAAATGGCTCTGTGCCCCAGTCTCTCGTCATTGTCACCGACGGGAAGTCCCAGGGGCAGGTGGCGCTGCTGGCCAAGCAGCTGAAGGAAAAAGGCATCATTGTGTTTGCGGTGGGCATCCGGTTTCCCAGGTAAGGACCTCAGTCCGCCTGTGTCAGCCCTTACAAAGTCAGCTCGGGACAGTGCCAAGGCTGAGAGAGCCTGCGAAGCTTTGCCAGGAGCGGATAGGAAAACTGTCCCTGTCCTCGCCTGGTTCTGCCTTCTTACTTTGCTGACTTTGGCTCCTGTGGGCTGGTGTCTCTGGCTTTGGAAGTCTGGGAGTTTGTATTATCCCTGGTTTTGTCTGCTCACTTGATGGAAAGTATCTGAAATTGTCTCAGCTGAGATTTATTTGGGCAGAAATGGAAATTCATAGTCATTTACTTTCCCTGATGGGTCAGGGGTCCCTCGGGGTGGGGGAGCCACACAGCTTTGGTGCCGTTTAGACCACTCTGTCCACTGCACACCTCTGCTGCCCCTCCGCCTCCTCGCAGCTGGTTCTCCTGGGAAGCCGGAACTAGGCAGGGGCCGTGCCCAGCCCTCCCCTTTCCACCCTGGAGAGAGAAGACCCATTTCCAGTTTCAAGTAGTCTCATTCTGACTGGCTCGAGTCGTCCTGATGCCTACAGAGAGAGATTCCGTGACTGGCTGCCCCCTCTCCAGCCACATTTGTTCAGAAGCTGGGCAAATCTGCCTCTCCAGAGGAGCGAGACACAGCCCTAAAAATGGACGCGACACCCAGTCCATGAGTTTTAGGTATTGTAGGTCTTCAGTGAAATGACTGTGTTCCTGCCACTGAGTCTGCGCTTAGAATTTTTAAAATTAACTTTAATGCATTGTTCTCTTAATTACTATAGGTCATCTTCATCTGTGAGACACTATTCTAGGTTCTTGGGATACAGAGACAACAAAGAAAAATCCTTACCTTCATGGGTTTCTGTGCTAGGAAAAGAACTAGACGATTAGTGAGTGAATAAATAAGAAACAGTTTCAGGGCCGGGGATTTAGCTCAGTGGCACCACGCCTGCCTCGCCAACGCAAGGTCCTGAGGTGGACCCCCGGTACCAGAAAAAAATTCAGATAAAATGAAAAGGAGAAAAATAAAGTAGGGTAGAAGGTTAAAGACTGATGAGGAATAGGGAAGGCACCTACTTTAGACAGGGAGTCTGCCAAGGTTTCTTGGAAGAGTTGAATTTTGAGCAGAAGTTGAAGTGATGTGAACAAGAAGCCTTCCAAACACTGAGGAAAAGAGTGGGAAAGCTGGTAGCCAGATGGCAAGCGCAGAGGCCCCAGGACAGTAGCTAGCTTGGTGAGTTATAGGAGCAGAAAAGAGCCAGGGAGAGCTGGAGCCCAGCAGCGAGAGGGGAATCCTAAGGACTAAGGCAGATAAGTTGGACAGGATTAGAGCCCGGATGGCGGTGAAGACTTGGAGTTGATTACAAGTAGGATGGGAAGCTTTTGGAGCGTTTTGAGCAGAAAAAGATAGTTGAGGCTCAGTGTGAGACGTGGGTTGGACATCTCGGTAAAGAAGCCGAGCAGGAACGTGCTGTGAGGACCTGGCTCACAGGAGAGAGGACAAGCAGAGAGAGCAGCACTTGAGAGGGTTACCCGGGGAGCCAGTGCAGAGAGGGGAGACAGCCGAGGCGCGGCAGGTGCAGGCTGGACAGCGGAAGGGGACTGGGAAGCAGCCAGGGAGGGTGAGGACAGCCACGACTGTGCGACGTCCCGCTGGTGATGTATCATTACTGTCACAGCCAGTAAGTTGGTATTAACACTGGCTGCCTCATCCTTCCTGGGCTCTTCCTGTATTCTCAAACGTAAGGAGTACAACATCAGGAGAGAAGAGGGAGGGACTCGCTTTTAGGCCCTGCCCACCCTCCTCCCACGTAGTGCTGCAAAGAGCACCTGGAAGATGGCTGCTGTGCAGTTCTGTCCACCAGGGTGTCCGCGGCTGCACAGTGGAAGTGCACATCCCCTTCCCGTGCTTTTCTCTCCAGCCGGCTGCTGGAGTAATGCTGCTCAGACTCCAAAGCAATGGACCCCACCTTCCAACCCTCAATGGACTGAAACCTTTTAAAAATACAGAGAAACAAAAAAAAAGGCCGGTAGCTCAGTGGTTTCACCGCCTGCTGTGCAAGCGCAAGGACCAGAGTTTGATCCCCAGTACCAGAAAAATAAAAAAATACAGTGAAGTAGCAGGAAAATGACATGAAAAACAAAATAAGCTCAAACATTTATTGTTCAGCAGACATAAAATGACTGTGGCTGCTGAACAGGAGTTTCAGGTGCTCACCCTTGGGGTTGGAGCTTGCAGAGCTCTGCTCGGGCAGTAAGCAGTTTGGGGACTGGTGCTGTCCATTGGTCACACGCTTTCCCGCCCCCTTTCCCATCTGTCGTCATCATCTTTCCAACCTGCACCTGTGAGCCAGGTCCTCACAGCAAGTTTCTGCTTTGCTTCTTTACTGAGATGTCCAACCCGCATCTCACACTGAGCCTACACTGTCTTTTTCTGCTCAAAACTCTGCAAAAGCTTCCCATCCTACTCCCAGTCAACTCCAAGTCTTCACCACGATGCATGCCCCAATCCTGTCCAACTTACCTGCCTTAATTCTTATGATTCTCCCCATTGCCCAGGCAGGGCTCAGACTAATCCAAGTGCTGGAATTACAGGTGTGCACCACCATACCCAACAGTTTTGCTGGATTTTTAATGGCAGGATTCTTATCTACACATTACTGACTGCCCTGTCTTCTTACGGGTTTCTCAGAGCTATTTAGTCTTTTCTGTATGTCCTAGTGTCATCATCCTGACACATGTTTTCCATTCTGGGCACAGACAGCAGTGTCCCCTGGCCATCAAAGCCTGCTGGCTGCCTGCCCTGGATGCCTCACATTCTGCCCTTGGGGTTTACGTGGCCAGTGTTTGTAACACTTAAGTATTTTAGTCTGTCACTAGCTGTCCTTGTCTGCTCTTCTGTTGCAGTTAGTTCAAACTGCTTTCTTTTGTGTGCTCTGATTTTTTTTCTCATAAAACTTACAGTTTTACAAAAACAGACCATTAAGTCTGTCAGGACTGTATCTCAAATATGAGGCAGTGGTCCTGAGGCTGTCCTTTGAGGAAGCTCGAGGGTTTGAGCATGTGCACATGGCACCCTATGGCTGGGCTTGCTTGAGGACTCTGTGGCTCACTTCTGGGTCTTCATCAGCATCCTAGATGGTGGGGATGCCGCCAAGTGGCCTGTGGTTCGGTAGGGTGCTGCTGCCATTCACAAGGGCCCCTCCTCCCCAGTGGGCAGGAAGAGGGGCGTGGTGCCACCAGCCGCAGGGACTTCTCTGCACAGGTGGGCGGAGCTGCGCACTCTGGCCAGCGAGCCCCAGGAGCAGCACGTGCTGTTGGCCGAGCAAGTGGAGGACGCCACCAACGGCCTCCTCAGCACCCTCACCAGCTCTGCCCTCTGCAGCCCTGCTGCTCCAGGTAGGACTGCGCACCTGGGGAACTGCGGAGCTGGGTCGGGAGGGGAGGTTCCCAGGAGGAAGGGGAAGGAGAGCAATGGCCAGCTCTGCCCTGTGCATGCCATTCTGTGTCCTTGGGCCCCTGTGGGTTTCCCTGCTGGTTCCCTGAGCTCGTATCTGGGGGCAGAGCCCCTGAGGCGTGGGGTCCAGAGCCGATGGGGCCCCATCTCCCACTTAGGAAGAGCCAAGCCCTCTCCCCTTGCCTTGGTCAGCACGGGAGGGGGAGGTTCGAGTGGGGGCGAGATCTCTGCAGTGCTAGAGTGACCGTGCTAGACGGGAAGTACAAGAGGGCACACTGCAGAGCAGGTGCCCGGAGACGGGACCCTCGCCTGTGTGCTCTGCCGGACGGAGAACGAAAGTGTCCCGGGTGGGCGAGGCATCATCCTTCTGACCACCTGTTCTCCGCCCTTTGTGCTGCTGGCGCAGACTGCAGGGCCCAGGCTCATCCCTGTGCGCACAGGACGCTGGAGACCATCAGGGAGCTGGCTGGCACCGCCCCGTGCTGGAGAGGAGCCCCGCGGGCTGACGCAGTGCTGGCCACACGCTGTCCCTTCTATAGGTTTGTCCCCGTGGTCGGGGTGTCCCCGAGGCATGGCCTGGGTGGGGTGGTCCAAGTGGTCCCCAGCCACAGGGAGAACAGCATAGCTCCGGCACTAGACATGGCCCTGGAGCCTGTGACAGAGACCCAGGGCGGCCCAGGAGGGAGCCAGTGACAGCTCTGGGGGAACAGAGCTTACAGCTATTCGGTGTCAGTTAACAGCTCACGTGTCTGGGGACATGGGTTCAAGGTGAAGTGGAGCAGCCAGGGAGGGCCTCACAGGGAAGGGAACAAGTCCAGACCAGGTGGTATGGAGATCCCCGTTAACAGGAAAGTCCCTGTTGGCAGCATTTGCTCAGACAAAGCCTGTGTGGGGCAGGGCTTGGAGCTTTCTGGGTTAGGACCTGAACCTGTGTAATGTAATAGAGACGTGGGCATTGGGGAGGGGTTCTCTTTAATGAGCAGATAGCTTGGCACACATTAGCTCCTTGGGTGAGGATCCTGGGGTGGAAGCTTGTTTGGAGGACTTTAGACGATTTTTTTTTTTTTTTTTTTTGCCAAAGCTCAGGGGCTTCCCTGTAGCAGGGGCTTTCTGCCTACTGGCTGAGCTTTCTCTCCTGCTGTGGCAGGCTCCTGTCGCCCCAGAGTCAGGTGGTGGGCGTTTGGATCCCAGCCCCGCACAGCCCAGTAACCATATAACTTTGAGCAGCCTTCTTCAGCCCTCGGAACCCACTTCCCCACCTGCAGGATCCTGGTTTCTTCAGGTAGCTGTGGGTTCCAGACGACACCAGGGATACCTGGCACATGGAAGCCCCCCTGGGAATTTCTGTGGTTGTTGTGTTGTCACAGAATGCTAGTGCTCAAACAAGCCTGAGAAGTCATCCAGTCCCATGGTTTACAAATCCCCTCGAGCTTTGAGCCTCACTGGGACACTTGTGCAGGACATCTAGAAGGGGCGCTGGGCTGGAACCCTGCAGGAGGTCTGGCGCTGTGGCCTCTCTGTCTCCTTCCCTCGGCACCAGAGCTCCGAGGAACGCAGTTAAAGCCCACAGGTTGCGTTCTTGTCTAAGAGGGAGCTGAAGGCTGGAGAAGGGAAGTAATGTTCCTGGGTCATACAGCCAGTGCACCCTGAATTGTGGACGTCAGGAAGTAAATTTATAATAAAAGATTGTTCCCATAGTTGGAGATTAAAGACATGCATGTACACACACACACACGCACGCACACACACTTTGAAAAAGCCCCCTATTCTATGTAGATAAAACTTAAGAAAACAGTCTTTTTTGAACCACTTCTCCATTAGAATCTTCCAGCAGCATTTAATATTATAATTTTTTGTTGTTGTCTTTGCCGCTCTGTTTCCCTGGATTGTAGCTGGAAGAGAGTATTGCTAAGCCACCCTGCCACCTGCTATAGGACCACCTGTCCAGGTATGACCTGCTTCTGGGATTCACCAGCTCTCTGGGACCTGGCATCAGGCTGGTTTGTAAACATGCATTGAGAGTCCTAGAGCAGAGGGTGGGGTTGGGATGGGCTCCAGCGCAGCGGAGCCGGAGCATTTTGGAGGCTGGGGAGGAGTGTGCTTGTGCTGTGCTCTTCTTCACCCGCTCAGTGGTAGTTTTACTCTGAGAATGGAGTGCCAGCCTTGGAATTACTCCCTCTAACTAACACTCCTTGCATTGGTGAGGAGCAGAGAAGGGTATATACCATGTGCCAGCTTTGCACAACCTCACCTCCAGTGCCAAACTCAGGGCAAGATATGTGAGTGGGAAAATGGTGAAATGTTTGCCCAATGTCTGGGGTCCCCATTTTCCCCTCCATTCAACAGAAGAAGATCTCATTGAAAAGGTCCTAGAAAGTTTCAATATATTATGCCCGGGGATATGCTTTATCAGCTATAAAATTCCAAATAAACGAGGTATTGTCCACACGGTTGTGTATCGTTCAGCCCAGTTGCCCTGTGTCCTCAATGGTTCTCACCCAGGAATCCAGAGCACCCTGTACTGGGAGCTGACATTGTTCCCAGGTGTGTTGGTGTCCATCCTTGTATGAGCTCACGGGTGATCCCCTTGTCCTGTTGATGTGTTAAAACTTCCATCTCTGGAGACATAGGGGAAACTGCTGATAGGGTTGCTGCTGCTCAGAAGTTAGAGTTTGAGGACTTAAGAGCAGTGATGCCGAGCCTTTTAGAGCTTTCAGTGATAGAACCCACTGCAGCACTCATGCCAAAGATTTGCCACCACTGACTTTGACACGTGTTTGAGTCCTGCTCTGCCCCTCGCCAGCTACCTGACCTTCTACTTGTGACTTTTCACTGAGCTCCTCCTTGTCTGTAAAATGGCAGTCTCACAGTTCCTGCCTCCCGAAGTGGTTTTGACAGTGACACCAGGCCATATCTGGGTCGTGGTTAGCACAGAACCTGGCACAGAGCAGATACTCAGTTAAAGCTCTTTGTTGCTGCGGTTCATGAACCCAGGATATTTACATGCATGGTGCTCTAGTTGCTAGGACAGCAGGGCTGGAGGGTGCTGAATTAGCTTCAATAACTTCTCCCTTTGAAAAGTCTACACTTCAGTTACAGTGATATGATCAGCAAATAATATATTAATATTTTGAAGAAAAAACAGAAATCACCAATGCCGATCATGACCACATTCAGCTGTTTATTGAGCCCTTTGAATACATGATGACATGAAGATCCTGTTTCTCCTCTTTAACCTTGGGAGGGACGTCATGGGATTTCATCTACATTGGTAATGGGAAAGGAAGTTGATAAGGCATTCAGATAGTGACCACAGCTTGTCATCAATGAGACACTGCAGAATGGGCCTGATTTTGATGTAGGCGGTCGTTTCCTGTGCAACGTATCAGCTGTGTGGAGGCATTACTCAGAATTTGCACTTCATATCTAAATGCAAATATTATATTACCGTTAAGAAGTGTTTGCTTCATGCTAAGAACTTCCGTGGACTAATTGATTTCGTGCACACCATAGCCCTGTGAACAAGTGCAGGCACTAGCACTCTGTTTAGATGAGGGAAGCTTGGAGAAGTGAATTAAGATGCCCAAGAAATGGAGGTGGCCACATTTATCACTGAGTTTCCTGGCTGCCGAAATGAAGGCTCACTGTTTTGCTGCGTTAGCCTGCAGTGGGCATTAAGAACAACTATGGGAGAATTTTAAAAAGGCCCTCAGCACCCCCTGGCATTCCCTGAGTCTTAAAGACACACACACTCTCACCTTGAAGCTCCTACGTGCTTCATCCTTGGCAAGCTCCAGTCCAGCAAAATTAATCATCACGACCGCCCGAGCTCCCCCAGGCTTCCTCAGCAGCTGTGGGCTAGTGTGGCCTGTATTTTTGGTATTGGAGCCGGGTCCCACAGGCATGTCCAGGGCATGTAATTCACAGAGCCTTACCGAGCCCACCGATGTGTCTTGTGCCAACCACACCCCGACACTCCTCTAGGTACCTCCCCTCTCTGTTCCGTTGGTACAGCTGGGTTTCTAGTGGGCAGTGGGGGAGGAAAAGAGCTGGGCCCTGCAGCACTCACTCCTCCAGCTGGCACTCTACGCTCCTGTGCCAGTGTGCCTGGCTCTTAATGGGCATCTCTCTGACAGGTGCTTGTGACTCCCACCCTTGCCAGAATGGAGGCACATGCATTCCGGAAGGACTGGACAGGTACCATTGTCTCTGCCCATTGGCCTTCGGAGGGGAAGCCAACTGCGGTATGTACACGTGGGACTTTCAGGATTTACCCACTGGGGAACAGGTAGAGGCTAGAGTCCCCGTCACACCTCCCACCTGCCTGGTTTCTCTGTAGAAGCCAGACCTCGAGTTTGCAAGTCCTGCTTTCCCAGTCCTCCGTCAATCTGACATCTCAGGAGGTGGAGTCTCATGAATAAGTAATTCAGGTGGCGGGGTTCGGGCAGGACAGCGGCTCCCGGCTCATCAGCAGTGGAATGGCCACTGCCTGACATTTAAGCTTCACTAAACCCAGCTGAAGGCTGGAGCCAGCCCAGCTCTGGGACCTGGTTTGGGCGGAATCTTTTTTTCTTGCTTCTATTAAGAAGAGTAAAGGGAGCCTCTGCCATTTTTGGTTGAAAGATATAAAGGTCATATAGGTGTTAGCTCATAGGGTGGCTGGGAATTTTAAATAAGCATATGTAAAGGGCTTAGCACAGGGCTTAACATACAGTAAGGGAGTGTTAAGTAATAACTTTTAAATATGTGGTGTTGGGTTCATTGGAGATCCATGTGGAAAAAATCTTGACCTTGTACCACCAAACCTAGCCCTAAATCAATCCCAGGTGGAACAGAGATTGGGGTTGGGGGCTGTGTCTCTCCATCTCCCTTAGAGGAGGAGGTTTCTCTGGCACCGAGTGGTGGTTGGGCTGATCCACGCTGCCCTGGCCACAGACTGACAGCCGGTGTTGCTGTGGTCCCAGCAGCCCCAAAGCTGAGCCTGGAGTGCAGGATCGATGTCCTCTTCCTGCTGGACCGCTCCTCAAGCACTGCCCTGGAGGGCTTCCTGCGGGCCAAGGCCTTCGTGAAGCGCTTTGTGCAGGCTGTACTGAGCGAGGACTCACGGGCCCGAGTGGGAGTGGCCGGGTACAGCAGGGAGCTGGTGGTGGCAGTGCCTGTGGGGGAGTACCAGGACATGCCAGACCTGGTTAGGAGTCTCGATGGCATCGCATTCAGCGGCGGCCCCACCTTCACAGGCAGTGCCTTGCGTCAGGTGGCAGAGCGTGGCTTTGGGAGTGCCGCCAGGCCAGGCCAGGCTCGGCCGCAAAGGGTGGTGGTCCTGCTCACAGAGTCACCCTCTCAGGATGAGGTGGCTGGCCCAGCGAGTCGTGTGAGAGCCCACGACCTCCTGCTGCTGGCCCTGGGCAGCGAGGCTGTGCGGGCAGAGCTGGAGGAGATCACAGGCAGCCCGAGGCATGTGATGGTCTATGCAGAGCCTCAGGACCTGTTCAGCAAAGTCCCTGAGCTGCAGGAGAAGCTGTGCGTCCGGCCACGGTCAGGTAAGGGCCCGGTACCTGACCAAGCATAGCCTTCCTCTTAGGCACCGGTTTCTCAAGTCTACTTGTCAAGAAAATGGGACTAATCAGCGCTTTCTGAGAGGCTTTGTGTGAGGATTAGAGGAGATGAGGAATATGCACACTCAGTATAGACTAATCATCTGCACATTTTAGGTGTGGCATTATTCTTAATCATTATCATTAGTGTTAACAAGGAGCTCTAAACCCATCACGCCTGATGGAGAGCAGCAGTTTGCAGGCTGATGGGATCCCACGAAAGGAAATGCATTCCTTGACACACATGTCCTCATATGCACACACACACAACAGCTCAAATATTTTGTGAAATGCTGCCTACCCTGTCTTCCTGGGGTGTACTGTAACACTGTTCTGTTCTGCTCTGTTCCGTTTCATGACCTATAAAGCTGATTTCATGAGGCACTGTTGGAGGGTGCTGTGGGGAACGGGGGCCTGCCCACTCTTACCCTGCCCCTCCAGGCTAGTCTCTCAGGGCAGCCAGAGCACCTTTGTTTCAAAGAAGAGTTGTAGATTTATAGAAAAACTGTAGCGGAGGTAGAGAGCTCCCATATAATCTCACACCCAGAGTTCTCTTGTTAACTCTCTTAGTAAATGCATCTGTTACACTGATTGAATGGATATTGACACATTATCATTTCCTATAGTCCATCCTTTTGTCCAGTTTCCTTAGTTTTTACCTGAGGTCCTTATGTTCCAGAATACCAACCAGGAACCTTCAGGACATTTGGTGGCCTCTCCTTAGTCTCCTGGTAGCTGTGACAGTTTCTCAGTTTTCCTTCTGCTGATGTAGTTCTTAGGAACTGATCAAGTCACCAGACTCTGGGTCCATACTCAGGCCTTCCCCAAGGCTCCCACTGCCACCCTCAGCTGGGCAGAAACTCAACTCCCCTCAGCCAGCTTCTGATGGCTCCACATCTGCTCCCTCAGGTCTCTCTGCAGCCCCTGCAGCATGGGAGAGGCCTTCTCCCTGCTTGGGAGGCATCCTGCCCTGCCAGTTCACCGGCGTCCTTGTCCTTCAGTTCTAACTTCAGTGTTCCTCTCCAGAGAAGCCCTGATTCCTCACACAGGCAAATCATGTTACCCCTGCGGGTCTCTCTCCTGGTTCCCTGCTTTGTTTCCTTTCTTTTCCCTCCATTTGTAATTCTACATTATTTCCTGTCTGTGCCCTTGAGCCCATCAGCCCAGGCATGAGCCCATTTGTTCCGTGTGGTGTAATTAGTGTCTTGTGTACAGCGGGTGGCACATGGAGGGTGTAAGATAACAGTACGGGTTAAGATGTTGTCACAGTGCCCCAAACTCAGTGGCTTATAAGATAGAATCCTCTTCCTCTCCTACGTGGTTCAGAGGTGAGTGGTCTGCACCAGCAAGGTGACTCGGCCATCGTGTCACTTCCATCTTGAGGTCCAAGATCTCCATCTCTCTGCCTGGAAGAAGGCTGGGGTGGGGAGTGGTAGGCAAGCAGCTTCTTGCCCAGTTTGAATTTGCACAATTTCACACTTGGAAATTATAGTTACTTCTGACCACATTTCCTGTATCATGGACTTTTGACACACATCCACACCCAGCTGCCGGGAGGGTGGGGAATGCCGCATTCATCTTTCTGTCTTCTAGGAGAGAGGGGTCCAATGGCCACAGGAGGGCGGGTGGGTGCTGCGTGGACAGACAGCAGACTGGAGTCTCCGCTGGCTGTGGCCCCGGTCCCAATGAGGGTTCCACTCTGCTTGCCCCTGCAGGCTGCCAGGCACAATCAGTGGACCTCATCTTCCTGTTGGACGCCTCAGCCTCAGTGGGACCTGAGAACTTTGCTCAGATGCAGAGCTTTGTGAGGAGCTGTGCCCTCCAGTTTGATGTGAACCCTGACGTGACGCAGGTCGGCCTGGTGGTGTATGGCGGCTGGGCGCAGACAGCCTTCGGGCTGGACGCCCATCTCACACGTGCTGCTGTACTGCGGGCCATGAGCCAGGCCCCCTACCTGGGAGGAGTGGGCTCAGCCGGCATGGCCTTGCTGCACATCTATGACAAGGTGATGACCGTCCAGAGGGGCGCCCGGCCTGGGGTCCTCAAGGTCGTGGTGATGGTCACAGGTGGGAGGGGGGCAGAGGATGCGGCTGCCCCTGCCCAGAAGCTGAGAAGTAGTGGCATCTCTGTCTTGGTCGTGGGCGTGGGCCCTGTTCTGAGGGATGCACTGAGGCGGCTAGCCGGTCCTCAGCATGCCCTGATCCATGTAGCGGCTTACTCTGACCTGCAGTACCACCAGGACGCACTCATCGAGTGGATATGCAGAGGTGAGCAACTTCACGGCCTTTGGGGCTGCCCCCAGACAGGACCTACGTCTGGGGTGGTACGTGGGGCCTTCATATGTATCCTTACAAGGAGAGCAGTGCCTTCCAGCTCGTGAGTGCTCACTTCCCACGTACCACCTTGTGTGTTAAATCCCATACTCCCATAGAACTCCCCAGTAGGTATATCCATCTCCATTTCAGGGGTAGAGAATTTAACCCAGATACCTCCTTTGCAAACTTGAGATTTATGCATTCTATTGAAAAGGATGACATTTTTAGGAAACCCACATCCCCCAGTCACAGTGCTGGTTGACACTGACCTAGGAAATGAATGACAGAGCCAGGAGCCAATAGGGAGGCCCAACTCCAAGGCCTGACTTTATCAGTCACCTTCTTTCCAAATATTTTTTTTGGTACTGGGGATCCAACTCAGGACCTTGGGCTTGCAGGCAGGTGGCAGAACCACTGAGCTAAATCCCTGGCTTTCCAAATGCTTCTAAAAAGCGCATGGCAGTAATGACAGCAGTAAACACTGCCTTGTGCACGGCACATGGAGTCTCCATTTCATGTAGGAGAGCTGGGTGGGATTTGATCCCCTTCAGCCAGGTAGGACAGACGTGTCTTCCATCGCAGAAGCCAAGCGGCCCGTCAACCTCTGCATGCCCAGCCCATGCATGCACGAGGGCATTTGTGTTCTACGGCGAGGGAGCTACCTCTGCAAATGCCGAGATGGCTGGGAGGGTCCCCACTGCGAGAACCGTGAGTGGCTCCCACTCTGCACGTGTGAGCTAGGGGTGCAAAGTCTCAGACTCAGCCGAGGGCAGGCTCTTCAGCCATTTATTCACTCACCCAGGAAAGAGGAGGATCTCCTATATCCTGGGCTTTGTTCTAGGTGCAGGGAATATAGCAGCAAACAGAATGAAAATCTGCCCTCGAGGAGCTTCCATTCTAGTGTGGAAACAGATGTTAAACCAGATAAGTGGAACGTACAGCATATAGACAGGGCTAAGCCCCCTGGAAGACATAGCTAGGCGGGAGGCCTCGGTGAGCAGCACTGTGAATCAGTGATGGTGACAGGGACTGGAATGCGGGCCCACAGGCAGGTGAGCGGGAGGATGCAGTCTTGGGACCTGGTGGTCCCCTTGAGTCTGCCTGCTTAGTGATATAGGAAGAACAGCCATCAGCTGCGAGGACAGGGTGGAGGAGCCGATGGGCAAGAAGGGTGACTATCTGAGGACACATGGAATGACAGTACTGGGCAGCATTAAGGGCCACCTGTGGCTCCTGCTCCTGAGCTGAAAGTTGGATCAGCCAGAAATCCGAAGACAACTGCAGCTCAAGCTCTGGGTGTTCAGCCCCTGGCACAGTGGGGTCTGTGTCGTCTTCTGCTTGGAGGGTTGGTGGGTACGAGGAGGACGTGAGAGGCCCCCGGGGGTGGTGACAGGTTGAGGAGGGACTCAGACACTCATGTCCTCAGGCTCACATCCTTTTGCAGGGGTCTTGAGAGGAGACGCCCCCAAGGCACGTGGCTCCCGCCAGGATCCCGCTGGAGGGCTGCACACACCTGGCTCCCAGCACCTGCAGTGGCCTGGGCACCCTGGGAGCTGAGAGGGCACTGCCTTGGGCAGAGCTCATCTTCTGGGGCCTTGGGTGTCTGCTCCCTGCTCGGTGCACAGCCCCCTTCCTACTAGCCTCCACCAGGGACACGCTGCAGCCTGTGGTGCGTGGGACAACAGGAGCAGCTGATGTCACCTACTGCCAGGGATAGGGATGCTGAAAATGCTTCTTGATGTGTGAGTAAATACTTTGTGTACCCAGTTTACCTTGTCGAGGATGTCGTCTGCCACTTTCCCCGTGAGGATAAACAAGGGATAATGGAGGATCCTGATGGCTTGTGTGAGGTTCACTTTTTGCACAGTTTTGCCAGACAGAATTTTATTGAGACAGAAAGCTCCAGTAGAAAGCATTATCTGGGCCACCCAAACCATGGCCTTTCTGAACGGAAGTGTGGACTGCATCACATCCCAAAAGATCTCCAATATGCATATGCTTTTAGTTTGAAGAGGGACTTAGATGGCACTTGTGACTTCTGGTGACTGGATCTGTGTGACAGAGAGACTGGAAAAGGTCTCCAACTGCATTTGACCACTTGATCTGTTTGGTTGATGATGGGGGTAGGAGCTAAGTGTGCAGATGGCCCCGTCTGGAGGGGCCACGTGGGACCAGTCCAGATACCAGGCATCAGCTCCGTGGAAGGTCTTCCTTTTCAGCGTGTTTAGTTGGGAGGGGCTCACTGTAGGTTCTTACTGAAACTTGTTTTTTCCAGCTTTTAGTGGAGCAAAGAAGAGTAGAATTCTTAAATCCAAATAAAGGATAAAGACATTTGCAGAGTTTTGCCTTTTTAAGCATAGAGGGTATTCTAATACTTTTGTTTTTGCTTTGTTTTTTATGCGAAGTTTTAAAAGAGCTCTTTCAAGAGATGTCAGTCATTTAGCAGAACTATTTGTACATATGTAGCAAGGAAGATTGGAATATTTTCTGGACAACTAAGTACTTACCCCTGCAAGTGTTAAGAGTAAGATGGAGGTACTTAAACAATATGACCAGGGGGGAAAATTGATACAAGTTTGGTTTTCAGTAGAAGCCCTTGTAGTGTTCCGACATAAATCCAGAGACATTTATCCTAACTTTTCTTTTTAGTACCAGGGATTGAACTCAGGTACTTGTGCTTTCAAGGCAGGCGGCGGTCATAAGTTTTCTTTTTAATATAAATATTTTAATTTGTTTTACATACAGATGTTCAAGGCTATCTTGATTTAAATGGCATTGAGCTTTAAGAAATTCAGGATTTCTGATGCTAGAAAAGTGCTTGAAGAGGGATCACCAGGTATCGTTACACATAAAGTCTGGAGACCCAAGCACTGAATCATGACAATCATTTGTGTTTGAGGGATATATTCATTCATAATTAATTTCATAGAAGGCGACATCAGCATAGGTCCACATTCCCATCTAGGGGATGCTAATCAGTGATAGAGTAGAACTTGTATAAATTCACTGTCTTTAATAGTAGTTTAAAAATTTTATCATGTAAGCTCTTTGTCCTGTTGAGGGCTATTTGGATGCCTCATTTGAATTACTTACATATTAAAGAGACTTTATAGTTTGTTTTTAGGAGACAGGGTCCCAGTCCTTGACTAGTCTTTTACTAGTAAAATTGCCACCCTTTTCAGTATCCCAGTAGTGACAGAGGGAATTCTTGTTTTCTGGCTTAACCAGCCATGCCCTTTTCTCTCATTTAATTTTTAGGTCTTATTTTTATGTTTTTGTACAAAAACAGATTGCAGACGGGCCATAAATCTCTTTATTTTCTCTCAGTGATCCTGATCCCATCACCTTGCTGAACACTCTAGTTCTAATAATTGAGTTTCTTGGTTTTCTAGGGAAATATTCACAAATAATCACAGTTTTGTTTCCTCTTTTTGAAGTTGAATACTACTTTTTGTCATTTTGCTTTATCTAGGCCCTCCATAATAATGTTTTGGAAAGTAGTGGTAATAACATGTATCCATATCTGATTCTGGACTAAAGGGACTTTTCACCATTATAGGTACAATTCCTCTGAGTTTTCTGCAGGTCACTTTATCAGGTTATGGATGTTTATTCCTGTCCCTAAATGACTATTTGTTGTAAGTGTTGAGATTAAGTTTTTTCACATTTAATCTCAATGTGATGAATTACATATTTGTATACTTTCTAAAAATTCCTTGGATAAACCCTGTTTGGTTAGGATATATCATTTTTTAAACATTGCTGAATTTCATTTGCCAATATTTTCATCTGTGTCTAAAAGTGAGATTTGCTTTCTTTTGCAGTATATACAGACTTTTTGATATGAGAGCAATGCTAAATAAACATTACCACAGAAAAATCCTATTTTTCAGAAATCTTGTCCGAGGGCTGATGTATATCTTAGTGGCAGAGTAAGAGCATGTTTGAGGCCTGGGTTCCATTCCTAGTAACCCCTACTCCCCAGTAAAAAGAGTTACTTTTTATTCTGCTATTTTATATAGCCTTAGGTTGTCTTTTAAATTGCATTAGTCATTTTTCACTTTGCTATGAACTTCCTTAATTACTATTTAAGCAACTGTCCAAGTATTGATATGTTTATATTTTCCAAGACTTTTAGGAGTATTGGTTTTCAATTACCAAATACATTCAGTTTCTGCAGATATGGTACCTTGGTTCATAAACTTATTTGTTCCATGATTCTGGGAAAGATGGCCATGGTCATGTTCATCACTCGATGAAGAGTTCACAAACAAAAGCATTCATGAACTGAGGCACCACTATCTGTATCTGGTACCTTGTTGTATACGATATTAAAATCCTCTTCCAGATTTACCTAGGTTACTTCATTTCAGGAGTCTTAAAGTAAAATCCCACCTTTCATATTTTGAAGTTTAGTATGTAAATAAAGTTCACTAGGCCCTGCCCCAAGTCATTCCATGAAATACAAGGGAAACTCCAAATACAAGGAACATTTTATTTTTTAAAAAAATCAAACCACTTGGTAAAGACCACCAAGTGTTTTATGACATAGGAAATAAATGCCCTGGGATTAATTAGAAAGACAATATGAATAAAAAAGACTTAGCTCTCAGGAACCAGTGTTTGAGAACTCTGATTCAAACCCCCCTGAAATGTTTCAACCTGTATTAACAAAGAATGCCATTGCAACGAGAGACAGGACAACACACAGAATAACACTGCCAGAGAAGAGGGAGGCCACCCTCACCAAAATTCATGACTTTTTTCCTGCAGAGGGGCTGGAAATTAGAAACTTCACAACATGAACTATGAGAGCATTGTATTAAATAACTTCCCTTAAAAATGGCCTGACCACGAGACAATTAAATAAGTTTTGTCTACATAATATAGCATCACTTACCATTTTATTTAAAGGCAGTTCACTGAGGCCTGCCTTGGAGTGGGAAGAAAACACATTATTTGGATCAGTGTCTCTGCTTGGTCCCAAATATTTCTCCTGCTACTGTTTCTTTAAAAAACACAACAGGTTGCAGGTGGTTTTACACAGGTGCTGCCACTGCTCTTCAAAATCATCAAAGATACAGTTGGGTCTAATATGGATTGGTGAAAACAAACCAGAAGGCAAGGATGGTTTAATCCCTGATACTGCTAGGTATTGGATAAGAGATGACAGGAGTTCAGTTCTTCTCAGTCATCAAAGCCGAAGGGCCCTTGTACTGTCTTCCACCAAAGTCTAAACATCAGAAGCTTTTTACTACTAAAAAATTTTGATAAAGCAATTGATGAAAACTTCAAAAAAGAAACAGAACATCCCTAAATACAATGTCCAGTAGACTTAGGTCTCCAGAGAAGCCTTTTTTTGTGGTGGCTGTAGTGTTCCCTCTGGCTCAGAAAAAGAACACAGCCTCCTCATGGCCAAAGCTCTCCATTCAGAATACCCCAGTCCTTGCTTTTTCTTTGAAACAGACTCACCCTTCCTCAGAGTTGCTGTTTTAAAGAAGACTTTACCGAAGCAGGATTGTCACCAAAGTCCATACTGACAGTCTTTAGATGTTTCTAACTTGCTCCTTTCTTCTCCCATTCCTAGAGCACCATACAAATAGCAGCACCCGCCCACCCCCCAAAAAGATAGTTATTCTCTGTAGCAAGCTTATAAACATAGAAAAAAAGTAGTATTTTAAGCAGAGAACAAGAATAATGATGGCCAAACTGAAACCCTGTGCGTTCCTCTCTGCATGGATTACATATTAAGAGATTTTAGGGATGTCTACCATGGCACTGAGGCAGTAGAGGTTCAGGTATGGAAATGGATTTAACAGTTTGCATACTGCTGTTACCTCTAGCAAGTAGGCAGGACAGGGACAAAGGACAGTGTTTGCCAAAAACCCAGGCAGTTCCTAGCATGTTCTTTATTGTACAAATAAGTTAAGGATTAGTAACAATTTTTGTCGAGCCCTCAGGGTGAACCCAGTCACAGGATCCATTGGTTGCTTATGCCTTGCTGAGCCTTTTACCACTAGCTGGTTGGGGGACTGGGCAAACTGCATTGCTCCTTTGAATCTGCTTCCTTAATAGTTTTAATAGTAGAAGTCCATGGATTCACTGACTTTTGAGTTTGAAAACTCTTCAGTCACAATCTGTCCCTGAGCTGCAGCTATCCCCAGGGATCCACTGTGAGGTTTAATTAAGAGAGGTCTGGGACAGAAGTGTCCTTGGGCTTACTGATAATAACACTTGAATCCAGTACAAGCATTCTTGTTATCAGTGCCAGAGACTTAACTTCCTGCTGAGTATAGAGCCCTCACTCAGGGCTGGCACCAAAAGCCACAAAGTGCTACCTGCATCATAAGAGGTGCCCCTCCTTAGCCGTTCTGCTAGCCCTCAGGGAGGGTGGGGGTGACTGCTTACCTTGGCTTTCTGGAGGACAGTGCCTTTGCCTGTGACCATGACGGAAAGAGGCCTATTCTTGAGCGCAGTGGCAGAGTTGACTGGGGTGCAGTCTTGGGTGGGGGCGGTGGCTTTAGGCTGTGGTTACAGAAAGAAAGCAAGGGACTAGGTCAAGAGGAGGGAGACAGGACCCCTCTCTGCCCCCCCAACCTGTGTCCAAGAGGCCCCACCCAGAGCTCAGAAGAGCTGCAGCTCCCACCACTCACTCGGGGGCTCATGTTGTCCAGGTGTGTAGTGTCTACTGTGGTGCCCAGTGTCACAGGTCCAGCCTCAGCCTTCTTCAAGTTGTCCTTCACCTCCATGATGTTGAGCTCAAGGTCCACACGCCTGCTCTCCTTGATCCGGCATTCCTCATCAATTTCCTTCAGCTTCTGCTCCAGGATGGCCAAGATGCCCTTGTCTGGGGAGAGAATTAAGCTGGCTACAGACACAGCGCCTCAGACAAGGCCAGAGAGCCAGGCTGGGTGGAGGCAGGGTTTATATACACCCCTACCCGAGAACCCCAAGTTAACGTGGACCATCAGTCTAGCTCTAATACACAGATGGGGGAGAGCTCTGCCTTCACAGGAGGCCATGAGTGCGAGGCCTGAGTCTCTTCTGGAGAGTTCCCAGAGGCTCTCAGTTCTGGAACCTGCTATTGTTATAGGATCCAAAAGCTTAAGAACCACTTTACCAGTGGCCCTTCAAGGATGACTGGGCCTTCTGACCTGGCCCCCACATCCCTCTGTACCCTTCCAGCAGGGGTCCTCAGCCTTGAGATGTGCTCAGCCCTGTGGTATGCATCTTCTTTTAACCCCAGGGTGCGGAAATCATGACCTGTGGGCGTCCATCCTAGGACGGCAGCCTGGGTTCAATCCAGAGCCCCAAGCTCGAGGCCACAGCCACCAAAACCCTCACGTGCTGTTCCCAAGTGTTACGGTCAGTGATCCCCTGTCAGCCTTCGTCAGAGTGAGGTAGCAGAAATTTTAAAAACAGGCAGAAAGGAGACAAGAAAAATCGTAATTTGAAAAACTGCAGCTTTGGGACACAAGCCCAGTTTAGCCGACCCCCCCCCCCCAAACCTGGACAGTTTCCTTTCACCCGCAAGTGGATTCATCCAGTCCTTTTGTTTTTGCAAATGTCTCTTTTTACTGTGAACAGATCATCCCTTTTGACCTGTAAGCTAGACTTTCCCCTACATTGACAAATTCCAGATTTCTACTGCTCAAAACACAAATATTCCCGGTTCCAAACTGCAGTGTGTCTCATTTCTCTGAACACCCGCACTCCACTCGAGTGTGTGCTTAAATTTCTGTCTAGTAAACCCTTGCCTGGCTGCTACTGACACGTCCTGAAAATTCTTTTTCTGCTACAGAGTCAGCAAACCTATTCTACAGGTAAGGTAGGTCAGGTTCCTTATTTCAGCTTCAGGAACCTCCTTTTGCCTTGACCAGTGGAATAGTGGCCCTATTACTGCTTGTCCTCTTGTCAAGATAAATTCATAGAGAAAAGGAAAGTAGAGAACACGTATTGATGTTTTGGGGACCTAGAATTGTTTTAAAAAATACAGTTCACGCTTGGTGGTCACTGCCAGTACTCTGATAATCATTCTTTCTGTCTGTGACTTATTAACCTAGGATCTACAGGGCTTCACTCCCAAGAGCGTAAAAACATAGTGAGGGCCAGGGATGTAGCTCAGTGGTGCCGCCGCCTGCCTTGCAAGCATAAGGTCCCAAGTTCCATCCCCGGTACCAAAAAAACCACCTCAAAGCTGTTTTCTCCCATCTGGAAAATCCGCCTGGGAGAAAAGGTGGGGAGCCCTTGGCCTCCAACAGCCCCAGCTCAGCACCTTCAGGGGTTTCAAAATGAGGCAAGAGATCAGGGTGTGTCCAGCCAGCTGGGCAAGTGGGTGTGGCCTGTCAATGACAGATCCACGCGCAGAAAACCAGTTCTCGAGCCCAGCCCCTGGGACCAGTCAGAAAGTGCTGGCTTCTGTTTTTCGTGGGATGGCCTAGATCTGCGGTCACCCCAAGGAGTGGGGAGTACAAAGGACTGCGGCCTTAACCTCATGGCCGTTGTGCTCTCTTTCTCAGTGGCTCTGTACTCTGCTTTTCCTACCTTTAATAAATGTAAAACCTCCCTACCTTCTGCATGTGTCTTGACCGATTCTTTACTCAGATCAACAAGAATCAAGAAAGAATCTCTAGAAGGAGCCCACAGCACCCCAGAGCCCTGGTACCACAGTGTCTCAGATGAGTGTCCGGTCACCTTCATCTGCTCACATCCAGCCCTTAGTCTTGGCTGGGTGAAAGGAAGCCAAGCCACTGTTTCCTCATCTCAGAGCACTCACAACATCCAAAAACCTGGAACCTCGTAACTAGAAAATTTCCATCTATAGACAGTGCTTGCTTAGGGGTAGGAGAGAGCTGGGGGCAAATGGGGAGTTACTGCTGATGGAGACAGCTTTTCTTTGTAGTGATGTCTGCATAGCTCCAAATATACTAAAAACTACCAGTGTACACTTTAAATGGGTCAGTTGCATGATATGTGCATTAGAACTCAATAAAGCTTATGAATGAGCGACTGTCCTCACACCTTCCTTCATCGATCCTATTATAAGCTTCCCAAGAATCAGCTGTTTTCAAACCTGCTCTGCCAGTTCTGCCTGCTAGTGCCTCTCAGCAATTTAAATATTAAATGAGCACAGAGCTACAGATGTGAGATCTGAATCAAATGCTTCAGAAAGGTTCCACAGAGGTGAGTTGCTAGGACACAAGATATGAGAATGATTTAGAAAGCAATCTAGAAGGCCTCAGATTTCTCTGCAAGAACCTTAGAATTAAGGGTGGCGCCAGCCGGCTGGCCCAGTTTCAGAAAGCCTTGACACTACATCGAAAGATTGGTTTCCACTTAGAATATATTTCTAGGGCCAAACATTTCAGGCCTAAACATTTTCTTTTCTTTTTTTTTGGTACTGTGGGTCAAACTCACGATCTTGTGCTTTCGAGGCAGGTGTGGTGCCGCTGAGCTAGATCCCTGGCCCTGGCCTGAACATTTTGAAAGATTACCTATCTCAATTAGCCCTAGTACCTGCTAGTCCTGTTGACATTGGTCAGAGGGTCCCTCCTTGCAGGGTAGTGGCTTCCGGCAGGACCGGAGGGGAGGGGCTCAGGCCCAGGGCTCTGGAATCCCGCTGGCAGATCCAGGTCCTTCCCTACAAAGCCCAGCAGTCCCTGGCTGTCACCCAGTGGTCCCTTACCTATGCATTTTAACAGGGTCTCTTTCAGCTCCCGCTTCTCTTTCCGGAGCTGAGCCAGGTGGCCTCGGATCTCTTCCTTCATCTTCTCAAGTCTTTCCTTCTCCTCTGTGTACCGCTTCACCTCGGCCTCTGTCCGATTCTTGCCAAGTTTGATCTCTAAGACGGAGATGGGGGAGGCCCTGAGTCAGCAGGCTGGATCCTGAGACCTGTCCCCAGCCGCCTCTCCAGGCTCAGACAAAACCCAAGGCTTGGGCACAAGATGAGCTGGACCCCAGGCCAGCCCTGCAGGGCTGGGAAAGGGAAATGGGCCCACACTTCCTTTGCTGTGTGAGTTTGGGTAAGTCCCTTCACTGCTCTGAACCTCTTGTTTCCTCATCTGAAAGGGAGGGAATCAGGCTAACTTCTCCAAGTCATGTCCAAGACGTTCAGCTCAGAACTAGGATAGGCACCTGCACTGGTCACCCGCAGCCTGTCCTTCACAGGTGGGCTGCTGCTGGCTGGGGCAGCCGCCATGGTGTCAGGGCAGTTGGATGGGAAAGAGATTCTCTGCTGCTCAGCCTGCAGCTTGACAGTGGCGATTCTCAGGGCAGGCTCCTCCGGCTCCTGGCTTGCCAGCTGCCTCTGTGGGGAGAACCAACCCTACTCAGCCGGCTGGAGGGCAAGGACGGTGGGTGGCTCTCCCTCGGAGGGCCCCTGTACCTGCTCCTCTTGGCTTTCTGCAGATGTTGTGCGGAGCTCCTCTGGGGCTTGGCCAGGGTCTGCAGGGAGGACGTTGGCCATGTCATCCAGCTGCGGTGACACGGGGGAAGAGCCCCGGGCCTGCACACTGCCGGGGCCAGGGCCGGGGCCGTGCATGGAGGGCTTGAGTGGCGTGAGGTCCAGGTACAGTCTGTCAGGCTCGTTCTCACTAAGTGCATCCACGGAGGGGGTGGCTTCCTCGGCAGGTTCCACCTGCAGAAGGGGAAGTCAGCCGGCACTGACCATGGCCGGCACCAGCCCTGCCTCAGATGTGTCCCTACTTCATATCCTGGTGGAGTCCTAAAGCAGAAGGCCCAGGACATAGTGCTCAGCTTCCCTGGCTTTCTTCCCCACTCTGTAAAGAGGAAACCAGCAGTGTCTTCCTGGAGGTTGATTAGGATGAGACGAGTTCATCTACGAAGCTCTTAGCACAGCAAGAGCTCAGTGCCCAGTACCAGAATCAGCCATCAGCACGGTCACCTCTCCTCAGCCTCTGTGTGGCCCTCGAAAGCTAATGGTGTCCCCGCTCTGTCCCTGACCAAGGCAGTCCACCAGCTGTCCTGTCTAGCCAGGCCCCAAAGCCAGGCCACCTGCACAGCCCCTCACAGCATGAGCTTGCTGCACTGAGGTGACTTGGAATGCATTCCTCTTAGGGATGATCTGACTGTCTCTGCCGTGGAGGTTTGGCAGGAGGCAGACAGGACAGCTGCAAGCCGCTGCCCACAGCATCCTTACCGCCAGGGTCAGCTCTGACATCTCCACGTCGTCATAGAGCTCTTCCTGGCGGGCCTGGGTGGGCAGGCCATCGATGTAAGTGTTGGGCTCTGAGAACTTTCTCTGCATGAGCCTGGAAGACAGGGCCAGAGTCAGTCACTTCCTTACAGGGTGGCAGCCAGGCCAGCCTCACAGGATTCCTCCCAGATGCACAAGAACCTGGGGACAATGTCTGCCTCCATGTGTTTGGGGGCTTCTCCCTGTATTTTGAGAACCTTCTTCCCAGAACAACAAACTCCCCTGCCTCATACACCCCTCTCCCCCCAGCATCCTGTGGCCAACTTCTCTCCCAGAATCCTCCCTTTTGGAATCTCCTCCTTCCCGATAACACCTGGGGAGGCACGGACAGACTCCACCCCATTTTGTGCAGAGGAAAATGGATTCAGTGGCTCAGCTGGCTTGCACCTGTACTGGCTCTACCTCCCCAGCCTGGGTGCATTTCTCCCAGAGCCCCAGTTTGCTCCTCTGAAAAGCAGAAGTGCCACCTCCTGCCTTGCTTATTCCAGATGTGCGAGGCACCCAGTGAGGGGGCCAAGAAAAGCACTGAGTCAACAGGAAGATCCGCAAAGGTGCCCACTCTGCCCCAGGGAGCTGGAGCGAGTCTGAGAGCTGCAGCTGCTCCTGGGACCCAGGACCTGGCTCGGCCCTGCATGAGAGCTGCTCTTTGACTGCAGACTCTGTACCTTCCTGCTGCTGGACACAGCGGGGCTGAGCCCTGTGCGCTCAGCGGCAATCGGCTCCAGCTGCCCACCACAGGCCAGGCTGGGCCAGGGTCTAGCCGCATGCTGGAGCTGGGAGAGCACCCAGTGCAGAGCCCCTCTATACTCACAAGAAGGAGTTTTTGGCCGCATTAACAATACAGGAAACCCGCTCAGCATCTACGTAGTCGTAGGTGAACTCCTCTGGGTCTGTCTTGGAGCCGGACTCAGACAGCAGGAGGCCTAGCCAGTGGCCCATCTCTTCCGAGGACTTGGCCTGCAAGGAGGCCAAGGGAGACCTGAGCAGGGCCAGTGTGTGTCACCCGGGGAAGTCCCACTGCCCAGTGCCAATCCTGTGGTCAAGCCTGGAGTCAGCCAGGGCTCGGCTCCCTCACTGTCAATATCCTGTCTCCCCCCGGGGTCCCATGTAGCATTCCCTGTTGGTGACATCTTACTGCTGCCTTAATGGTGTCCTGGTTGCTTGGGATTTATATACCCGTGTCTCTAAAAGGTGATAACAATTTTTAGTATCTATGACCTTGTGACAATAGTTACTAGCTCTTTGTTAAAGTAAAAAATGATATGCCTAGGTTGAGACCTCTATTTCATCAACGATCACTGTCATTTTATCACCGTAGTCCATCCATATCCACAGGACTGCCTGGATTCTTGCTAAGAAATGGCAACATTCAGATTTACTTTTGTTTATGACTTCAATAAAGTCAAGGTGTCTTAAAGACTTTATACCATGTCAAATAGTTCTGCTAAATTAACTAAATTCCAGTGAGTTTGAGATTTTTTCCCCCTTAGGGAGCAAAACATTCTAATCAAATGCACATGCTGGGCACTACTATTAAAATGTTAACATTGTTTCTTGCCTTTATAATAAAAAAGGGGAATTCTATAAAACCTATAGGTTTATCTTCATGAGGAAAACCAGCTCCCCTTTGATTAGACTTATTATTATTTTTTCCCGGTACCAGGGATCGAACTCAGGACCTTGCACTTGTGAGGCAGGCGTGGTGCCACTGAGCTACATCCCCGGCCCTCAGCTCCCCTTTGTTAACATTCAATACAGCTCTACCACCCTTACTGCTTTCCCTTAATGAGATGAATTGGACATCTAGGCGGTTTGCTTTTCCCATTTATTTTCAATTGGATTTCTCAATGCCACTTCACAGGGCATCCATCCCCTAGTTCAGGCCACCGCCATCTCTGCCCTGGGCAACTGTGGCAGGTTCTTGTCAGGTCTCCTTTGGTTCCTTCTTGTCTCTTTTCCATCCACCCCTAACCCCAAACCGGAGGAAGCATCCTAAACTCTAACTCTGAGTACCACCCCCTCCCCCAGCCCCGTACCAGGGATCAACAAAGTCAGGACTTTGCTTTCGAGGCAGGTGTGGCACCACTGAGCTAAATTCCTGGCCCCTAACTCTGAGTATGCCACCTCCTTTGCAACCTTCTAGGGCTCCCACTGCCCCTAGGATCAAGCCCTGCCCTACCCAGCCTCATCATATGCCAACCCCAGTAAACATTCACAGCACCGCCCCACTCCATTCCAGAACTGTAATTAAGTGATAATTGTGTCATCAGGCAAATATCACACTCTAAAACCAGAATACAAGTTCCTTGAGGACAGGAGGCATCTTTTCTACCTACCATGTTATGGCTTTGAGCAGGTATTTGCTAACCTGGCAATGAATCCAGGCTTTTGTGGGATGGATATTTTAGCCACCAGAGGGCAGTGTTGGAGTAAAATTTGGAGGAAGACTCCTTGATATAGGACTCCCGGAAAGGAGTTAATGGACAAGCCTGTGCTTAAGTGTGTGTGCAAAGAACTTGGGCTCCGCCTCTGGGGCTCACTGCAAGGCATTATGTCACCTCTTATTTCTGTAAATGCAACAGCACATCAAACAGGGTGGGGAGTGGGAGAAAAGCAGTTGTATCAGAGCTACTCCCAACCCCAGCTAAGCTGACAGCGGTCTTTTCTATGTTCTGGGGCTCAAGGCTCTCCTGGCTGGTGACACATAAACTAAATAGCACCTATTTAATTCCCAGAAGTACTGCTAGCAGCTGTTGGAGTTATGAATACTCCTCCTGCCCTAAGTGGAGGGAGCAGCTCATTGTCCCACTCTTCCACTCCTATAACACAACAACCCTGAGGTCAGAACAGAGAAGGACATTTAAAAAAATGCAAACCATCACAGGCAAAGGAAGGAAAATAAGATGCAGCTACACAGATTTTCCCTCGGTAGGACTTGGTCCTTGAGACCTGCAGGCTACAGGTCAGCAGTACCTCGAGCTTGGCCAGCTCCTCCCCGTTGTGGAGGATGCGGAAGGAGTAGAGGTGGTCAGGGCTTGGGTCTGGGACCACTTCACAGCCTACCAGGCTGAGGGGCTGCTGGGCCGCCTTGCTCCGGTTCCGGTCCTGGTAGAAATGTAGGTGACTGTCCCTGACGGAGCACCAGCGGGACTTCCACTGGCTGTTCACCAGCACGTTCAGGTAACCTGCCAGGGACAGGGAGGCAGGGAGGTGAGGCTGCAGCAGATGAGACCACAGGCTAGGGTGGGGACAGTGGGACAACACTTGTCGGAAGGGACCCAGCTGAAGGAGAGTCAGGCTGCCAAGGGTGTCTAGGGCTGCATGGCCTCTGGGCCTCCTGAGCGTCTCCCCCATCAGTTAGAACCTTTCATGCCTCTCAACTAAGGGAAACTGTGGATCTCAACAGTGCATTTCTTCTTTCTTCATGGAAGCAGCTGGACCAGTGGTGGTGAACGTGCCGCAGCCGGCTGTTTATCATTGAAAGCTCTGAAAGGTTCGCCATCACCCAGCTGGGCCCTTTGAAGGTGAGCAGGAAGCTCATGGAGCCATCTCCTGGCTGCAGGTGCAGCCTTAGCCTCCGAGCTCCCTGGCTATCTTACTGTCCCTGGGCTCCTCCTCAGCCCAAGCACCCAGCTTCTCCTTGTCTGCCTGGTGAGACTGCCCCAGGCCCTCCCTGGTCCGGGCTTCTTGCTCTGCCTTCCGTCAGGTCACCTGGCTCCTGGTACAGTGAAACTTTCTGCTTCCACTCCAGCTTCCCCAGTGGGACACATGTGGTTCAGAAGGGCAGGAACCGGACCAGGTCCTCTAGTGCCTGAGGTGTGTGTCTGCAGCCTTTCCAGCAGGGGCCCCACTGCCTCTAAGGCACAGCACTGGCTCCACCAGCACCGGCACCGTGCTGTCCTTTCTTGTTCTCAAATGGCTGCATGGATTGTGTCCAGCTTACCAAGGACAGAACAAGCCTTTACCCCCAGCAGATACATGTTCACTGAGCTGACACAACACACCACAGCCTTGTCCCTGACAAAGATGAGGAAAAGCCAGCTCAGTGCCACCTGCGTGGCCCTGTGCAGGGCTGACATCTCCGCTCAGCTCAGATGTACTAGCTTACAGAGTGGGCACCTGCCCCGTGGTAAGGGGCCGACAGCTGCCCTGCACTCCTGCCGGATGAACCAAGTGCACAGCGACTGTCCTGCCCTGTCCAGAGCTGGGCACACCGAGGACCACGACTATCTCTGAGCCGTATTAACATCACATCACGGTGGCCAAGTGGACAAATGAGAGGCCACACATACCCATCACAATCCTCAGGTCACAAGGAGATTAGGGTCAACAGATCTGGGAGTCCAGCCCTCAAGCATCCAAGACCTGGGTCCCCGGGGACAGCCCACAGCCAGCAGCCAAGCAGACTTCCAGCTCTAACCCAGTCGTCTGTCACAGTGACTCTTGGGGACCAGGCAGGCCCCAGGCCATGAATCGTACCTCCCGACGGTGCAGGCACAGGCAGAGCTGGGCCACTCCCAGTCCGAGTGGGAGAAGCAGGAGGATCTACAGCTGCCTTCCCTTCCACTGCACCACCCTGCCAGTCTCAAGCAACTGGACCACTTACCTGGGACTCAGGAAAGAGCCCAGGATCGAGCCAAGGCTGGACAGGAAGGGCCTTGAGGCCCCAGGAGGGTCGCAGCCACAAGCACCAGCTTACCAGCTACCTCACTGCAGGACATTTCCCAGGCCAGGCCTGTCTCCCCTCCTGACCTCGGTTTCCACAAGTATGGTGAGGCAGAGAAGAACCCACTGTACCCAAGCACCCTGTAAGCCAGCCACACAGGTTTCTTCCTGTCCCTTCCAGAGGTCTGGCCCATGTTCCTCTCGGTCTTGGCTCCCACCCACCCTCCAAGGCTCAAGCCTACCAAGCCATCCCTGAGCACCGAGCAGGAAGGGCCGCCATATTCCTGAGTCCTGACAACCACGCACACGGCCCACTGTGTACTTAGGGTATGCAGCAACGCTGGGTCTTGGGCTGAAGCTCTCGGGTCTGTGTCTTCCACCGGCCTGGGCCTGCCCGCCTCATCCTAACACTGCCTGTCACACCCCACAAATGCAGATCCAATGAACAGCATTTTATAAGAACATTAGGAAGGTGGGCATGGTGGTGCACGCCTATAATCCCAGCATGCTAGGAGGCTAAGGCTGGGAGATCGCAAGTGCAAGCCCAACCTGGGCGGCTTAGCGAAACTGTCCCAAATGAAACGATCAGAAAGGGCTGGGATGTAGCTCTGTGCAGAAGCCCCGCATTCAATCCCTGCATTACAAACACAGCCCACACATTAGGAGGGTACTAATTGGTGACCCTAGTTCCATGAAGGACCCAACACTGTAGAAGACAGCACAGTTCTGCACAAAGAGCTACTGCAGTGAAGACAAACTGGACCCAGGAGCTGCACACTCTGCAGTTCCGGGGAGATTAAAACCAGCCCAGACACCCCTGCCTTGGCCACCTGGGCCTGCCCGCCTGGAGATGGGCCCCGGGTCTGGGTCCGGGTCTGGGTCCGGGTCTGGGTCCGGGTCCGGGAGGGGACGGCAGTCCTTACTGGAGGTCTCAAGGGGCCTCTCCGGGGGCTCCAGCGAGGTGGATTTCTTCCTGCCCAGGTTCATCAGGTTGCTCAGCTTGAGGCCAGCAGAACACTTCTTCTTGACTATCAAGACAAAAGAACGCAATCAGCATGCATATGGCCACCCCCGTGCAAACTCATCCCCATTCTTTCCACCATCCCTACACACACACACACACACACGCACACACGCACGCACACACGCACGCAGGCACGCACGCACACACAGCTGCTCCCTACACCGGGATCAGCAGGACAGTCAGCTGTCTCCAAAGGCACAGCCCAAGGGCGTGCAGACTGCTGGGAAGAGGTGAGCCCTACAGCATCTTTATACACTCTGCCTGCTGGACGGGGGGTTTGAAATAGGATTGGCAGGCAGGAGGAGATGCAAGAATCTTCTTTCCCCAGCCTCTCATAAAGCTTAACTGCACTTTGGCCATTGCTTTCTCTCTGCAGGACCTATCAGCTATGGCATTTTCCCAGTAGTTTCTAAGTTGGAGACCGTGTAAGAGTCAGCTGCTCAAACCCAGCCAGGGCTCGCTGTCATCCCCCAGTCCATGGCTGAGCGGCCTATTGGTGTTACCGGTATTACCGTCTTTGATCTCTGAGACCTCAGGGTGGCCATCCATGGAGCTCCCGTACTCCGAGGCTGACAGGTACTTCTCAGCTATATCTGGCTGTAGACAAAGAGATGTGGGTGGGGTCATGGCTGGAAATGGTTACCATGGAAACTACAATTTAAGGGAAAATAGGTGGCTCCTGGTGTAGGCCAAAGGTCACCTGACCAAAGCCTCAAGGCAAGAACCCAGGCCACTGGTAGGACACTGGCCAAGCTTCCCTTGGGCTCTCTAGGGGACCTGCCCTCACCCACTTCCCGAGGTCCTTCAGCTGTCCCCCGCCCCACTGCAGAGCACCTTCCCTGTCTCCAAGCCACCACTTGCTTGTTCACCAGTTCCCCCAATCTCTGCCCAATCTGATGTGACAGTGGCCCCAGAGCCAGTGGGAAGGGCAGGGGCCTGGGGGTGGCATTCTCGTTGGCACCTCGCCAGATGCGGAAGTCTTCTGAGACCTGAACACACGAGCAAGGTGTGGGGCTGCGGGGAGGTGCTGGTATCTGCACAGGCTCAGGCAGGACAAGGCCAGCTTGAGCCCCACAGCTGGGCCCATCTGGGACAAGTCAGAGGACCCTTTCTGAGCCTTACTCTGCATGTGGGTCAGGGAGGGGTAAATCCCAGTCTGCCATGGCGGGACTGGTGGGGACCAGGGACGACCCCTGGGAAAGCACAGCTGCCACCGGTTGGTCAAGGCTCGACTGTGAAGGGCTTAGAAGGCTCCAGTGAAGCTCCTGCCTGCTCCAGACTGCCAGAATGCAGGCTGCCAGGTGGTGCCGGCAACCACCAGGCCAGCCTGAGGCAGGACGCTGGGGACACAGACCCCAGCCAGGGGAGCACGGCAGTGGCAGCTCTGTCTGCAGGCAGGCTCCCGGTCCTCAGCTCCGCAGGAAGAAAACCCGAATTCTCTCTGACTTGTTTTCCTGTCAGTGGCCAAGGAATGAGCAAAACCACACAAACACCAGCTCCTCAGGAGTCACCAAGGCAGGCCTATGGGTCCCTCGCCAGGTGGCCCGTGCCTGCTGGAGAACAAAGGGCCCCCTCCCTGCCCAGCCCCCTACATGCCTTCTTGCTGTCCTCCCTGGCAGGGCTGGATCCCCAAATGAGACACTGTACCCCTCTGGGTAGGCTGCATGCCCTGGCCCCGGGAGACTCGCCTGCAGACACTCAGGACATGAAGGGTGACCCCACAGATGACAGCCTTCCCCTTCAGCACCCAAACCAACTTCCTGGACCCCTAGAGTTCCATGCAAATGATCTCTGGAGCCCTTTTGGGGATCAGATGGAGACCATGCCATCCAGAGGCTCCAAGGGGGAATAGCAGAGAGAAAGAACCTCAAAAAAATAAATCTCCCGGCTTAAGAACGTGAAGTGACCCCTGCTGTATTAATGCATCCCCCAAGCCCATTAAGAAAATATTTTAGGGCTGGGAATTCACCTCAGTGGCACCACGCCTGCCTTGCAAGCACAAGGTTGTGAGTTCGATCCCTGGTACCAAAAAAAAATTTTAGATCTGTATTTATTTCATCTGTCTTTCTGACAAGTTAATTAAAGTTCCTGCCCCTTTCCAAGCACGGCTTGTTTCTTATTAATTGGGCTGAAATACAAAAACAAAGCTCCCAATTTTACACTTCTGATTTTTATGGAGCAAAACCATATGGATCCTCCTCCTCCTCCAGGCAGTGCAGAGCCTCACCTTCTGACAGTTCGGGCGCTGGGCCTCTGGCGTGTACTGGTTCCCCTCAGATGTTCCCTCAGATGCCAGACCGCTCACCTCCTGGATGACCTGGAGCAAGAAGAATGGCATCAGCAGCAAGGGGCCCTTCCTGCCTGCATCCACCCGCCAGACCAGAGTGGAGGCCCTGGGGGCTTGGGACAGGGTGGAGGTGAGAGGAAGACGCACAACTGCCAAGGTACCAAGGCGACCTCGGCCCGGCTCGGCCCACAGGTGGTCTCGGGACATGGTGCGCAGGCTGCGGTGGGGAAGGCCAGCTGCTCAGGCCCTTTCCTGCAGCCCCCCTGTGTTGCGGGGGTGAGCGAGGCCTATGCAGCACAGCCATGACGACCTGGCCACCAGCATCTGGGCACGGGTGCTGTTCTGCTGTGGGTGCCATGAACAACTGCATGTGCTGGGTGGTCCCTGGCTTTGGGGGGGAGGCGTGGGCACCCAATGGAGGCTCCAAGCTGCTTGGGAGCAGCCCTGCAAACTGCACTGGTCTGGCAGGTGTTCTCCAGGCTTATCTGCTGCCACTGCCCCCATCCTCCCAGGAAGGAGCATTTTAACTGGTACCCAGCACCAGGGCTGGGGCTCACACAAGTCAGAGGTGGCACACGCTTCACTAAGCAGCAATGTACCCGGCCCCCCTTTCTGAGCCTTGGGATTCCCAGAGGAAATGACCCAGGCAGACAGGCAGACAGGCAGGCAGACAGACAGACAGACAGACACACACACACACACACACACACACACACACACACACACACACGGAGCCATCAGAAGCTCTTTGCAGGCAGAGAATCGGTAAGAGCAATTTTGAGGACCCGCTTGGTTCAGTCTCTGCTCACAGCAGTTTGTGGAAATGGGTTTAAAATCAGAAGAGCCAGAGGAAGCAGGCAGAAGTGCCATGGGGAGGGGAAACACGGTATCTCTCTCTTCTTAGATGGGCTCCCGTCAGGGACTTGGGCTCACAAAGTGTCAGGGAAAGAGGGCAGGTGCTGGAGTCACCAGGGTAGCTGCATGACCTTGAGCCTGGGTCTCAGTCACAGGATCTATAGGATGGGACCACACCTCCAGGCTGACGGTGAGGACTCATGTGTCAAGAACCCAGCACAAGGCAGGGGTGGTGGCTCACACCTGTAATCCCAGCACTTGGGAGGCTGAGGCAGGAGGATTGTCATGAGTTCAAGGCCAGCCTGAACTACACAGCAAGACAGAAAAAAACCAAAACAAAACAGAAAAGAACCCAGCACAGAGTAGCTGTGTTCTCTGCAGTCCTCATTAGCTTGGGCCTGAATATGGAGATGCCCTGCCTGGGCAGCGCCAGAAGCCGGAAGCCCAGGCTGAGCGTGTGGGGGTCTCTGCTTCTCTGGAAGGCCTTGCTGTCCTTTCTTTTCTGGGACTCTCACCCATACTCTGAGCCTTTCACTTACTGTCCTAACCCTGTCTCATCCTGAGCACACGTGTGATTATGCAAACTGGGAGACAGAGGCCCAGGGAAGTGGGCAGGTTTGACAAAGGCCATGTAGCTCAGAGAAAGGCCCTTGGGCAGGCTGGCCAGCCCCACCTCACTGCAGGAACAGGCAGCCTCTCAGAGCCGGGCACGCAGAGCTGGGCACCACTGTGCCCACCTGTCCAGGGAGGAGAAGGGACTCTGTCAAGACCGGACAGGCAGGCTCTACCTTTGAAAGTGCTCTTGTCTTTGAAGCCCGCAGCAGGGACCGTGGAGGCCTGGGGCTTAGGAAGAGGGTATGAAAGTCTGTGGGGGAAGCTGGGGGCCAGGGAAGGGCAGGAGTGTCTGAGAGGTCAGAGGGACAGCTCTGGAAACTGGGGCAAGAACAGTGTGCATGTGCATGCAAATGTGTGCACATGCCTGCATGTGCACGTGCCCAAATGTGCGTGTGTGTTTACACAGTGGGTAAAATGAAAGGGCTGGCATATCCCAGAGGGAGATGGGCTCTGGGCCTCAGGGGTCTCATCTGTATTAGCAGAATTTCCTACACTCAGTATACATCAGGCACCGTGCGAAGCACTTCGTACGCAGTAAGGGATCAACTCAATACCACACGGCTAAAAAGGGGTGAGGCCAGGATTTGAAACGAGAGCACTCGCTCTACGATGCCAGGCCTTTCAGAGCTAACAATCTCAGGAACACACAGAGCCACAACCCTGTCTGTGCAGCAGCCCTTTCCGTCCTATGTGGCTGTCTTCAACCACCTGGAAACCTTGCAGGAAGGACCGAGGTTCCTGGCAGCTCCTTCTAGAAGCTTGGCTTGGTCAGAATTCTCAGCACATTTAGTGCTTTCACAGAAGCACCTCGCCTGCTCACAATCGGGGGCACTCAGCACTTGGGCCGTTTAGTCACATTTTAATAAGCAGTCTCAGTCTGCTTCTGAGCAGCTTGCCATGGGGGCTGTCTAGCCAGCACGGCAGGTGGGAACAGATGTAATAGTGGAAATACGCCAGCGTGGCCATGACGGCAGGCTGGGCAGCAGGACGGAGGGGAGGGATGGCCATGTCCCACTGGACTCCCCAGGGAGGTTCATTATCCCTCCAGAACGGTGAGTCCCCTGTGGGTGCAGAGCACCACCTTCTGAACTGTCAAGTCACCTCTGATGCGGGGAAGTCACCTTTGTCCCAGGAGCTCGGACAGCCTGGCACATCTGGGGACCGTGACAGCAGAGCGTTTCTGGAAGCAGAAAACCCAGCACTGTGGCCGCACGGCCCCAGGTCAAAAGTCCAGCACTACCACTCACTCGAAGGGTGACTTCTGCCCTGAGAACCTCAAACTCCATGCCTATAAGCTCCGAGCAGGAACATGGCCCCGCCCCTCCAGGGTTAAGCCTGCTAAAACCCATGGTCCCTGTAAATCCTTCACAGACGGCAGGGACGTCTATTCTTTAACCAGGACGCTGACGACCCCTCACTAGAGGCAAAAAGCCAAGTGGTTCCAATTGCACCCCAAGTCCCGGGTTCAGCCTGAGCGGCAATGTGCTGTATCTGTTTCCATGACACCACCTGGGACATACAGGCACCAGCGCTGTACCCTGTAGAAAACGGTGGGAGCCAGCAGTCAGGCCTGGAAGAAGCAGCCTGGGGCTTCCTTACCCGGAGCCACTGCTCGGCTTGGTCCCTGCTCTGCAGGCCCAGCACGATCACATCCGCGTTCATGGGCATGATCTTCAGCTTGTGCTCCTGCTTCCGTACTTGCTTCTCCTTGTGGACAACACTGCTGCCCAACAAGTTCACATCCAGCTGAGGGCTGTGGTCCTTGGACGATTTGTAGCACTAGAGGAGAAGAGAAAAGATGCCACTGGGCGGGGGGCTGGGCCTAGCTGCATTCTGCAAAAGAGGGACCCCTGAACCCTGAAAAGATCCCCTAAGAGCCTGACTTTACCCCCATACCAGAAGGCTGGCCTTGGCCTCAAATATCAGCCACTCCCATTCCCAGCATCAGACCGCCTTCCTCTCCTCGGCAGGCATGCCCCAGGCCTGGCCTATCCCAGTGGCTTAAACCTGCTTTGGAGCTCAGGCAGGAGGATCCCTAAACACAGCCATGTACCACTTAATGAAGTCTCTGTCAACAACAGGCTGCAATGACGGCCAGTGGCCCGCTGAGATCGAGGTACCCAATGATGAAGGTGCTTTAGATGTGCTACACACTATGACATTCACGGTGACTGGATGGCCTAAGGACACATTTCTCAGAATGCGCCCCATTCCTAAGCAGCACGTGACTACACATTCCCTGTAGACAGCTCTCATCTCCCAGGGTGGAACAAACTGTTACCATTTCTCCACCTCTCTGCTCAGCAAGGGATCCATCAGGTACAAAAACTAAACTGCCTAAAGAGATGCTGTGTTAGCAAGGGGAAAAAAGGGCCTTCGTTTCCTACCAGAGAGAGACTCTGCCCCTCATTTTCTCATTGTCCTTGGGAGGCTGCCCGATAGGATCACCCAAACAGCATAAACAGCATTTGTAAAGAACAGGGACATTGTGATCAGAGGAGAAAGAGTATTTGTTTATAATAATTCCATGGAACTTCAAGTCAGGACATAAAACTAAAAAAAAAATTTTTTTTGATATAGGATCTTAATTATGTTACCCAGGCTGGCTTCAAATTCCTGGACTGAAATGATTCTCCTGTCTCAGCTTTCCAAGTAGCTGGGCCTACAGGCGTGGACCATGGCAGGTGTGCCTGGCTCAGAACTATGAGGTTTAATTTAAAAAAACAGGAAATAGGACTGTTACCAGAGTAATATCTCTGGCTCCCTTATGGATCTTGACTGACAATCAGTCATCCAACGTATTGTAGTTTCTGAGAAGATGCCTACAGTTCGCATGTGGCTTGGCCCAAAGCAGCAGTCAGAATGTGGCCGGGGACTGAGCTGGGTGCACCACTGGGCTCTTCCACTTGAAGTGAGGAAGGACCTGGGGACAGGTCTCTCAGAGAAAGGTGCATGGTACCCTGAGGTCCTGATGAAAATGACTAGATCTTCCTAGTTTGGGGGAAAAAGCACACACAAACTTCTGCACAGTTTTAGATTAGGGAGAGGTTTAAATCCCGACACCAGAAGGCTCTGAGCCTTTGGAACCCCACCAAGGAGCTTCCACCCAAACACGCCCAAGAAGAAAAGGCGAGCACTGACCAGGAGCCGGGTGTCCCTGATCACACACAGCTGCTTGGCCCACTGGCCCAGCCACTTCTTGCGCCACAGGAAAGCACAGATGCGGGCGTCCCGCATCAGCTCGATGCTGGCCTCTGGGGAGGGCCACTGGTAGGGGGCTGACTTGCCCTTGCTGCTCTCCTCCTCATCGTAGGATTCATAAGAGCTGCTCACAGCCTCTCCATCCTCTGCAAAGAAGACCCGCACAGTCAGGGCCGCAGGGCAGGGGCCGTCCCTAAACAAGCAGCACCGGGGAGGACAGGAGGCAGCAGGCAAAGCAATCCATGGCCCCAGGCCACCACCCCTCTGCCCTTCATGCCCTAGAATCGGCCACTACCCCAACACCACAGCTGGCTTTTCAGCCCGAAACCTCCTTCGAGAACCTTCTCGGATGCTGCCTTGGACCACAAAAGACACATAACTTAAAACAAGAAGTCCCACCTTTCCCTCCTCAAATCCTATCTTCTCAGACTTCTGGGATACCCCTGAGATGGCGCTGCCCCAAGGACCCACTGTGTGCTCCCCAGAAACTGGGTCTCCCCCTTGCCCTCTGGCTCTTCACATGAGAAATAAAGCTGGAGGGCGGAATTGTTTCCAGGTCCTCTCAGCCTAGCACTCTACTATCTCAGGGGTCCAGAGGAAGATAACCCTTGCTGCGGGCTGTTATGATTCCTAGCAGCCACTAGGCTGAACCTGGTTCTGTCCCAGGTTGGGGTAAGGGACTGTGGCCCCTCCGAAAGAAAAGGCCACACCAACCATGGCAAGAAATAGCTTCCTGGGAAGACAGCCACCTTCTACCCCTGCATATCCACTCCTGTTCAGAGCCCTTTTTAAGGAATCCCTACTGGATACCCCCAGGTCAAACTGAGCTCCTTTAGATCTTTTCTAACTAACACCCTTCTCCTGTTGCTGGCAAGGAGCCACTTTGGGTTTGTCATTTGAAAGAGTCCACAACCTTACCACAGCACAAACTATGAACAATTCTATGCATGTACCACCTGCCTGGGTCTTTACTTTTCACCCCTTCTGTCCTTGAGTTGTTCCCCTTCTCCAGGCCTCATTGCTGTATTCAAGGCCAACAAAATGTGGGAAAAATGAACCAACCAGTCTATATAAATTTTTGAAAAGCAGGGCATAGAGAAGAGGGAAGCCCAGCATCCCTGGTCCAACCCCTGGCTCGGCACAGCACTCCTGTCTATTAGAACCTTGTGGCTCACTACCTGCTGATCATTGGACACTTTCTTCCCTTTCTCATGTGGACCCAGCGCTTACTTCCCTGTGAGTTCCATAGAGCCATCTTTGTCCTGCTCCAGGTCAGGCTGAATGACACCTCTTTCTGTCCCCATGACACCCTTCAGAAGAGGGGCAGCCCATGGGGCCCCAAAGTGTTCCCAAAAGAATCCAGAGGCCCCTGTCCAGCTGGATAACTGTGTTCTTGCACACTAAGGAAAGAGCAGCTTGTTTGTATTAGAATAGAGGAAAACAGAGATGGGGCGGCTGTAATACTTATTCCAGCCATAGTGCCAATGAAAATATATTCTATTTTAATATTTCTAGTAACACTTTAAATATTGTAATATCAGTTTTCTTTAAAAGTAGTGTGGCTGCTTCTCTCCCTGGGATAATTTAAAAAGCTGCACTGTTATAGGGGTTTTTTCCCCCCATACCAGAGACTGAACTCAGGACCTTGAGCCTGCAAGGCAGGCGGGGCGCCACTGAGCTGCTAAATCCCTGGCCCCCATTATAGGTTTTCATACCTAATAAGCAAAGATGGAGATAAGCAAAGATGGAAAATTGTGGTACTATCCCCTGGGGGACCTCAAAGCCTGTTGCTGGTGGCAACATACATTTCCACAGGGAGCAATGTGGCTCTGTTGCTTCAAGAGCTATAAAAGTACTTATAGTCTTCCCTCTAATAAACTGGATCCTACGCGTTTGTCCTAGGAAACTAGTTTTTCAAAAAAGGGGAAGAGGGCTTAGAGATATACCTCAGTGGTGAAGTATGTGCCTCACATAGATAATACCCTGGGTTAGATTCCCCCGCATCAAAACAAATAAATAAAAAATAAAAAGAGGCGGAAGAATGTCACAGGTGTTGTTCTATTCATGCAAGCGCTAGTTAGCAATCAGCACAGGACTGGGGAAGTAAAGCACAATTTCATCCGCTTAAGAGCATCCATGTGACCCTAGTCAATGAAAACTCTGAAAACCAGTGTGCAGCTCAATAAAGCCTGCAAGATAAGATGGCAGGTGAGAAAACAACAATTAAAATTCTCTATGCAAACAGACCCATACTATAAGGCAACACAGAGAACTCAAAATAGTTTGATAGGGAGGTAGGATAAGGGTGATTTAAAAAAAAATTTCCTCATTGTCAGTATTGCATTATCTGCACAAAAATAATGAAATAAGATTGATACTGTTAAAAGTCAGTGGGTTCCTCCTTCTGGAGCAAGAATTAATGGAGTGGGACCATGAAGCTCACTGCGAGGAAGCTGGAGCACCCCCCAGTTTGTGTGCCTGAGGTGATCCTAGGTGTTTCAGGGAGAATTCTGACTCCTGCACAGTCTCTTGCGTGTGGTACGAGGAAGCCAGCTGAGAAGTAACTGCCATCACTGTATCTGGAATAGCTTGAGGAATTTTAGGACAAATGTATCAATAATTTCACTTATCCCTAAGAAGGATCACAGCATACCACAATGTGGAATTTTCCTAAAACAGATTCTTGGCTTGCAGGGGATGCAGGGTGAGCAGGAATGAAAGACAGGCATTCGGATAGTTCTAGCAGGACCGAATCCCACTGTGTCTTGAGGAAAGTGCTCAGCAACCAAAGCAGAACAACCATGCATACTCTGGTTTCCTGATGCCACAGGCAGGCGTCTGAAGGAGGGAGACAGTCACTCTTGGACAGGATGGCACATGTGCACACATGCAGGAAGCATGCATGAGGAAGGTCATGGCCACTGCTGGGACATGCCCATCTCTGTGAGCCAGGCAGCAGACATGGAATCACTGGCGTCCCAGGTCTGGGGACAAGCAGTACCCAAGGTGATCGTGGCATAAATGACTCCTTCGGGCACCTGCACCCAACTAGGGACACCAGCAGGGAGCAATCCGCCAGAGTGACCTGTATGGTATCCAGAAGCACAAAGGCAAGAAGAGAGGGAAAGGTGAAGACAGGGGCACATCCATGTGCAGAGGCTCAGATGGGGAAACATGGCTGCCCATCCCCCAGAGGTCAGTGCTGGCCGCACAGAGGTTCGAGTTGTGAGGAGAGGCCACAGCCCAACTATGGATATCCTTTCCCAGGCCGTTTGATATCCAGAGGTGACAATGTGACCTGTCACTAGTGGAATGTGGGCAGAGCAGTGTGTCTTTACTTCCAGCTGGTGCTTTTAAGAAGCAGAGAGGGCTTCTGTGCTCTCTAATCAGAGGATTCTGTGGCTCTCAAAGGTGGTAGAGCTAAACACGGAAGGAGCCTGGTACTTAAACTACACAGAACCCGAGATACCACATGGAGCTGCTGAGTGAGAAGTGGGTTTTTATCATCACTGTAAACTGACTCTGGGGAGTTACCTGTTCCAACAGCTGGCACCCCTAGCACGGACATCAGGAACGACGGCCCAGTGTCTGAGAAGCAGCAGAGCCCCTCCTCTCCAGCACTCACTAAGCACTCAGAGAGAGGACTCTGACCCAGTGCAGCAGTGTGGGGACACTGCCCATAAACCAGGACAAGGGTTCGGCAGCTGGCCTTTTGCAGGAAGTCAGCAAAATCACTTGTGATCATTCAGATAGAGCAGGAGCTGGAGCCCAATACTCCTTTCTCCTGCTGGAACCTGCACATCACACTGCTCAGGCCGGAAGTGAGGACGGGCCAGCTTGTCGTGCAGGGGAAGAGCTTCTCTGTAATACATGCGGCCACTTCTCCCCATGTTGACCCAGAAGGAGGGACAGGTAATCTTCCCACCTACTACTATGGATTCCCATAGCTGGATTTCCAGCTGACCCAGTCCCTGGCCTAGTCCACATGGTGTGTCCAAGCTGCCCTGTGGTAACCCCTAATCCTGGCCACAGCCAAAAGGCACCCATAGGTGAGAGGCAAACACAGAGATGCCGGGTCTGACCACTTGTTTGGGTTGAGACGAAGTGTCTGTCCCACAGATTGGCCCCTGGGTGCCTCTTGGAGGCAGGTCCTGGCTGGCCAGGTCACACCTGAGAGACAGCCTTATGATGCAGAGGTACTCAGCAGGGTGAGTCAGTGATTCTACCTTCAAGATTCGCCCAGACAGCAGCACCACACCCCTCTGTTTTGGTCTGAAAATCAAGCTGGGCTGGTGACACCCAACACATCACATGCTTTGTGGTAGAAGCTAAGAGACATCTGCCCATAACACCAGCCTCTTAGAATATCCTCAATCCAAACAGGGCCTTGCCACCCACACAGTTCCCAGAATGGAGATGGTGGGTAAGGTGTAAAGGAAGAGAAATCTCTGATGTGGCTCCCAGTTCCATCTCATCTGGGTCCTGTTGTTTACAGAACCAGCAACACCCCCCATTGTCCAAGTTCATTCCAGTCCCTGGGAGTCCTGCATGCTGCTTTATCCTTTCAATGCCTTTTCACTTACAGAGGGGAGAAAGTCAGGAGAAGTGGGTGCTACAGTTTGGATGGTGACTCCACATGCACCACAGGCCCAGTGTGCTGTCACTGGGTGTGCTGTGGACTGCTAGGAGGAAGGGCTCTGTGGGAGGTTCTTAGGTCTTGGGGGGGGTGTCTTCGAGGAGGATTATGGGTCCCTTCCTCTTCCATTCTGTTCTTGGCTTCTTGGCCATGAGGTGAGCTACCCACTCTGCCATCTGCAATCCAGCAGGCCCACTGGAAGCCCCAAAACAATGCTTTTTCTCCTCCTAAGTTACTATCCTACTACATTCATTACAGTGACAGAACACAAACTTCTGACCCAGCTTCTACAGGCTGAGGGCACTGGCCAAGAACCACCAAATGAGTTTCTGCCAGCCTCTGGGTTAAAGCAGTCAGATCCCCTCCAGGCCCCAGCTGCTGGGTTGTACCATTGACAGACGTATCATATGGCTCAGCCTCTTCATAGTAACCCTCCGAAGACTCAATCCTTGAGACACTGAGCTGTTTCCGTTCTGGAATCTGTGGCATGAACAAATAAAACAAACATCTTTAGATATGGTACACTGGAAGCAACCTGGAGTTAGCTCTTCAGGTGGAAGGAGGAGGAAGTCCAGAAGAAACGAATGCCCAACTGGACTTTAAGCAGGTGAGGAGGGGAGCATGGAATACAAGGAACCCAGACTCAGATACAGGATAGCCTCTCACACCTTGCTTCCCTTCTCTGTAGAAGAGGAATCATATCAGGGCTGTTTTGAGGATTCTGTGAGACACACATGGCAGTTTCCACAGGGTCTGTCTCTGTACAAGGCAACAACTGCTGTTGTCAGGGGCCGTATAAAACCCAGGAGTCCACAGGTTGGGCATGGAGGGCAGTTGTCACGACAGAAGCCAAATCATTGGACTAGTGTCCTGCTCACAGAGATAGGCTACATGAAGAGGGTCAGCCAAAGCCATCTACAACCTGGGTCCAGCACCTGACACCTTCCTGCAGGAGCTGGCCTCACCCCAACATCATCCCTGTAAGAAGGAATAGTCATCTGGTCATTTCCTAAGCTGATCAGGTACTGTACTTGATGGCAGATGGCTGCTGAGGAAGATACCTCAGGCCAGCTCCTTCCTGAGGGCCAGAGCCTCACACACAGTGGGTACGAAATCCAGAGCTACTAGGAAATGACTTTTTGCTCACTGCCTTAACCTGGTGACAAGTCTCTGCCCTCCCAGCCATCCCTTGTCCTGGAGAGCCAGCAGCTTGAAAAGGGTCTGCCTGTGAGATGGGCGGGGTTCTACCTGGGGCAGAGGGGAAGTGTCCTCTCCTCTCAGCAGTGGCAAGGTCTTCCCTAGATGGGCCCCGGGGCAGCTCATGCATCCCTACCTAGCTGGGCCTCCAGCCCCAGCCTTCAAGGATCCCCATTCCCAGAAGGTAGAGCTGAGACCCTTTCCTCACTCTGGAGAGAAGCCCTGCACACCCAAGGTCTGCTCTGGGTCAGGATTCCCACAGTTAGAAGAGGACAAAGCAGGAAGGAGCCCCTCTGCCTCCATAGTAGCTTCTGTAGGTCACTGTACCAAAGAGCCCATCACTGGGGCCCATTCCGTCTCAGGTAGAGCAGTAGGCAAGATTCCACAAAAGTGTCCCAAGAGCCTCTCTCTGACAAACCTACTGCGTATGGATCAGTGTTGAGAGATGGTATAGGACAGAGGTGAAGAATCCCATCTCCAAGTGCAGCCCAAATCCTGGCACTGACATGTCCTAGCTGTGTGACTCTGACCAACTAATGAAACTTCTCTGGGCCTCCATGTAAAGTGCAGTAGAAATATCTGTCACATGGTACTGTTGTAAGGATTAATCTCTGTTCAGCAACATTAAATACTCAATAAATACCAGTTTTTATCAACCTAATATACAAATACCAAAGGCAAAAATGTTTTGTGTACATGTGTATGTTAGAGGACTTTTAAAAAAATAAGTCTTTATTATTTTGTTATTGAAACAACAGAAATTATAGAATGTTAAAATAATAGAATGTTGTTTGTTCAAGTAGCAGAGGAAAAATTTAATTGTGCTATATGAATTCATGATCTTGAATTTTATTTATTTTAATGTAATACAAGTAGATATTAATAAAGAACATACAAAATTACTCTTTTTCAGGGGCCGGGGATTTAGCTCAGTGGTTTTGCCGCCTGCTACGCAAGCGCAAGGACCAGAGTTCAATCCCCGGTACCAAAAAATTACTCTTTTTCTATGAAAAAATAAAACACAATTTCATAACACAATAATTATTAGAGTATAACAATTAATACACTGTGTATCATGATCTTAAAAGAATAGCCAATATGTTACTCAGAGTACAAGTCATGGACAAGAAAGACTCTTACAAATTAAAAACAAAAGGACAAAAGTTTCTTTTCAATGAATAAGAGAAACTAGTAGTATTATACCTTGGTACTTGACTGTGATACTCTGGTACTGGACTGCTTTGAAATTTGTCTCACTTGGTATTCCATGTGAAAGTTTTGCCCTGGTACTCACCATTTGAATATTTTTTTTTCTTTTTTGTACCGGAGATTGAACTCGGGTCCTTGCGCTTGCGCAGCAAGTGGCGAAACCACTGAGATAAATCCCCAGCCCTTACTCACCATTTGTTTAGTGTTCAATGCACAAGCTAGAACTTGTGAGCTACCCTTTCCAGCCAAGACAATCCGGGACTGGCTGCACCTCTCAGAACCAATTAAGGATGAGTAACAAGGTACCACTGTATTCTAGAAGGATACAGAGGAGAGTATGGGCCTGGTCTGGCTATACATACCAAGCTCTGCCAAAGGGAACGGTGCTAGCTCTCCAGGCTGCTGGGACATAAGCACTAAGGTCAAGCAAAATGTGAAATCGCGTAACAATTCAGAAGAGAACCTCATAATTACAGATACCATGATCTTCTTACTAACAGGGATCAATGAAAAGAGATCCTAATCTCCCAGGGCTAAGGAGAAAGGGCTCTTATTTTAAGTACCAGCATCCTTGTGTTGAGGAAGAGTGTGAATACTAAATGAAGCCGCAAAAGGGATTTGACTTCAGTACCTGAAACAGCTCTGACTATCCAGAGGAAGTGAGTAAATTGCCCTGCTCAGCAGGATTTACCAGAGAGCCACAATCTCTTTCTTGTAAAGGGCCAAGTAGATTTTACAAATTTGTAGGCTACGGGAGGCCTCTTATCTCAGCTGTTCAGCTCTACAGTTGCAGCACAGCCACAGGCAATGCACGCTAAAGCAGCACACTGTGCTCCAGTAAAACCTCGTTGGCAGAAGCAGGCAGCAGGTGGGATTTAGCCAGTGGGCCATTTGCCAAGCCAAGACAGCAGAGGTAAAGAGAGGTAGCCCAGGTGACGCAGGCTCCCTCGCAGCTCTAAGCACCTGCCCCAGGGTGTGGCCCCTGAGCAAGGTTCCCGGTAGGGGAGGGGGTGGGCCAGGCATCCACACTGACCATGGCAGTGCCCTGTTAGGGGCCAGCTGCTTCCCCAAAGAGGCAGCTCAGTGGAAACCAGTGCTCGTGCGTGCTCAGGCCTCCAAAGGGACGTGGGTGGAGACGGCTGTGCTCGCCAATAGCCAGAGGAGGGGCCAGCAAACATCTGTTTCTCCTGCAGTGACCGCAGCACCTGGCTGGGAAGACAGCGCCCTGGAAAGGCCACAGCTGCCTGAGTCACTGCCCACACTTGTGAGGTTTTTCCAGACCCGTGGCTGCCCTTTTATCGCTGGGCAGGCTGTCCACTGAGGCCATGGGTTGCAATGAAGACCCAAGCCACCATGGAGAGAATTGGGGCTTGTGGCCAACAAGTACGCTGACCCTAGGACAGAGGCCACAGTCCTGGCCCAGATGGTGGCAATGAAGACCCCAGGCAGACATCCAGCTCCTGCTGTAGCTACCAGTGGGTGGCAGTGGCGTGGAGCCCAGACTTCAGTGAACAAGGCCCCATCACAGCCTGATGCTCTAGGGTCAGAGAGGAAGGGAGAGGCTTTTTCTGCCTGAGGAAGAAGGGAGCCCACAGGGTCACTCCAGGCTCAGGCTTTGGGGCGGAGCTGACACAGGCCCTCCCTGGGAGGCTGCTGCTTCAGCCCTGGATTTCCTCCTCTTCCCGGCCTCACCCGACACCACTCCTCCAGGGACCTCAGACTGAGTTACGGCCATTCAGCGGAGAATCACCCAGAGAGGCCCAAGGGAGCAAAGGCGCACCGTGCACCTGTGTGGGGACAGACAGGGCACCCCTGGGGGGTTCCAAACTAGGAGGGCTAGGAAGTAGGAGGGACCAAATGAGGGAGCTGCGGGTCACACCCCGTCCTTCTAGCAGAGCAAGTCCACAGCGGGGAGGGGGCTGGCTGCCCTGCACAGTCAGCTGGCGTGGCTGGAAGTCTCCCCGGGCCTGGACTCGGTCCACTCGGCAATGACCACGCCTCAGAAAGGGCCCCCAGGACCATGCTATTCCTGGGTGTTGACATTTTCCTCAACTCCAGCACCAGGTTTCTCTCAGATGTGGTCACGAGCAGCCCCCCGTCCCAGAGCCCCGGAAAGCTCCCCAGAGGGGAGGCTCCTGCCTCCTTGTCTGTTCGCCACCCCTCGCTCCACTCAGATGCTCTTCCTGCAGTTGCTGCGGGGGACAGAAAGCCTGCACCAGGATCCCAGGGGCTCCTGGACTTGCCACAGTCCAATCAGGTTAGGGTACCCAGTCCCAGGCCCTGGCCTCTCGGTTCACAGTGCTTGTGAAACAGAATTCTAGGATGCTCAGCACTCGGTGCCCTGGAGACCCAGGGTGGAATGCCCTCCATCATTTGTTGACCTAGAAGCAGCAGCCCCCTGCTGTGGCAGATGGGGCACTTCCACTGCCAACGCTGAAGGCCTCTGGGTCAGCTCAGGTGCTAGACTCCAGAGAGGAAAGTTCTAGCTCTTGCTGGGAGCCGCCACCTTTCCACCCCCATCACTCAGGGAGCCATGTCCGAGACACACCAGAAAACCTCCTCTCAGAGAACCACAGCTCCACTCAGCTGCTGAAAGCCATAAGCACCTCCATGGGAGAGCAGAAGGGAGGCCTTCAAAGCACCTGGGGCAAGAGCAAGGGGCAAAGGGCAAGCACAGCCCCACCCTGCCCTGCTGCAGAGCCAGCGGCACACCTCCTTTCCAGCTCTCCTCGGAGCCATCCAGCTACGGGGCCTCCTCGGCCAGTGGTTCTCACTCGCTGAGCTTGTTTTTTCATGTGAGAAATGCTGACAAAGCTGGGTGGGGGTAGGGCCCGGCCTTCAGCATCAGCATCATGGGGATTCCTAGGGACTAAGGATCAGTCCAGCAAGTCTCACCCAGCCCAAGACAGAGCCCCGCTAGCACCCAGCCTATGCAAGGGGGAACCGCAGCAGGCTCTCCAGGACTGTCCCCAACCTACATGGTGACTCACACCCCAGTCTGAGGACTGGTATCCCTGCTGCCCGCAGGAGAGAGCAGAGAAGGGGCTGGTCCAGAGCCATCCTGGGATTGGGACCCCACTCAGTGAGCACGAGCCCACAGATCAGGGGACAGGTCACGTGGCGGGAGCACAGGGACCAGAGTCGGCGTCCTGCTGGCATTACCCTCAAGGCCTCCTGACGCCTACATAAAGCCTTCCCTGCTGTGGCCCTGTATACCTTCTCTCGAGGAAGAACCTGGGTCCTAATCCTGACGCTGCCATGTCAAGGCTGCGAGGCGTTGCCTGTGACACATGAAACCGCCACTTACCTCACTGAACACTACGGGCACAGCGCGCCACACACAGTGCGATGTGGCCTGCAGAACGCGACCAACTGATGAGACAGACACCGACATCCTTTCCACTTTAACTCCAGGACACAAAGGGCTAGAGACCCTAAATAACTTTCTTGGGGTCACAGAGCTAGTCCCTGGCTCAGCTGGGATCTGAGTCCACGCCTGTATGGTTCTCCGTACTCATGATGATGTCCAGCACAGGCATTTGATAAAACCTTGTTCTCATCACCTTTCATGGGGGGAGGTGCCCCCCAGCAAATGACAAGTGGCTTGTGCAGGTTTCCTTTGTCTCCCTCAGTGCCCTGGCCCATGCCCTGCCCACAGTGGGTGCTCGGATAGTGCCAGAGGCTGGGCAGAAAACTGTCTGTGAGGACAGTGGGAGTTCCGAGGGAAACTGGGGTCCTGGATGGACACTTACCATCTTGGGCGGTGGAAGGTCTGGAAGACTCTTCTGAGGGGCCGAGGAGGGCTGAACGGGCTCCCCATTGGTCAGTGGACCCTGCTCCTCGGACACTGTGGGCAGCAGGAAGAGAAGGCTTCCAGGAGGGGTACTGAGCCTCACAGCACGGTCTCATTACCTAGGAATGTCTGGTCTCTCATCCTGTCCCCTCTCCTGTGAGTTCTATTTGAGCAGGTGTTAATTACCCAGGCAGGCTGTTCTTCCTCCAAGAATAGGGCACAGCATGCCCAGTCACAGGCAGATTCCTCAGAGGGAACCAGCTTGGGTTTCTGGCAGGCTCCCCTACCCAGCCCAGGTCAAAAGCAGCCCAGCCACAGAGCTCCAGTGAGCAGAGCCACTGCCTGGCAGTCACTACATTGAGCACTCTTGGCACTGACCCTGTGATTATGGCTTTTTCCTCCCACAGTTTACCGAGAGGGCAAATGACCCTGGGCAGAGTGGCCGCCGCCGGGCTGGGCAGCAGGAAGTGGAGAGGGGCGCAGGTGGTAGAAGAGGTAAGGAAGGTGCACCGAGGAAGTCAGCCCGTCAGTCCTCTTGCCTGGAAAGGCACCACAGGCTCTCTTCTCACCCTGGGTGTTGTAGCCGGCCAGGCCAGGTCCGGGACAGATAGCTCAGCAGGGCTTCCTTAGGGCTAACGCGGCCGACGCCACAAAGCCAAGACCTCTCTGGGACTGAGTGTTTAGGGGCCGTGTTCCTGCCTCTCCCTAAGACTTTCCATTTGAGTCAGGCTTGCGAGCTGGGAGATGAGCTGCTTATGCCCCTTCCTCTGCCGCTGGGGAGCTCTGCAAACTGCTGGGTCCCCTGGGTTCTACCAGACCCACTCCGGAAAACTGAAGAGCAAATCAGTGAGCAAAGAGTGAGGAGCCAGGGAAGACACCATTGTCCTTCAGTAGAAAAGACAAGATGTCGTGCCCGAGAGCATCATTTCGGAATGTCAAGGCGATTGCTGACGCCACCATTTCTCCTCCCTCCTCCCCAAACAGACATCTATCAAAAGACACGAAGCGGGGCCGTGGGACCAGCACCACACACAGCTGCTTTCCTAGAACATCTGAATTATGACTTCCTGTTCTTGGGAGAATGCTGGGAAAAGCCAAGAGATTTTAGGGACAGATTTCTCATGCAATGGGCAAGGAGGTGGCAGCCTGTTAAAACATCCAAAAATACATCAACCCAAAATACCACCAACCAAAATGCGTATTCCAAAAATAACTCCTCCAGGCCTGTCTGTATGCTGGCTGGGAGGAAAGGCGGGAGGATGGAGGCCAGCCTTCTGCCTTCCCCTCCTAGAAGCCAGTCCTCCCAGCACCCACCTCGGCCCCATACCTCTGTCCTGACACTCGGTGTTCTGTTGCTTGTTGATTGTGACTTTGTTCATGTAAATGTACTCCTCATCAGAACCTGCAGAAGACAGAAGACACGGGGCTCACAGGACTTTGTGAAGGCTCAGGGCCTCCAGGGAGAAACAGCGACCCCTTGAGACATTTTCATCTGTTTGGATTCAATAAAAACACTCAGCATTCGGAGTTGATCCATCACAGACAGCTGACAGATTTCCACTCAAGAAAGGACAAGTTCCAGACTGCTAATCTTCTAGCCCAGGAGGATGGGAGGAGAGAGGGAAGGGCAGGGAGTAGAAAGATGGCATTAGGAATAAATATTATATGTTGAAATGTACCCATACTTCAAAGGTCTGCCACATGTTCCATCAAATAGAGATGTCTCTGACCTTCCCAGCATTTCATCCAGGCTACATTTTTTATCTGTCATTCTCACTGTAGCCTGAATCACCTGAAGGGAGTAATCAGAGTGATGTCTGAGAAGTTTAACTCCCAGGCCCCCAGGACGGTGGGGGAAGGGGGAGCTGAACAGGCAAATCAGATGAGGTAGGAGTAAAAAGGGGTGAGGGGGCACCACAATCCTGGACTTCAAGTTATACTACAAGGCCACGGTGATAAAAACAGCATGGTACTGGCACATACACAGGTGCAGATCAAGGGAACAGAACAGAGAATGTAGAAGCAACTCCAAGCACATTCAGCTATCTGATCTTTGACAAAAAGGCCAAAACCATACATTGGAGGAAAGAGCTTTTCTAACCAACAGTGCAGGGAAAATTGGATATCCACATGCAGAGGATTGGATCTAGACTCATATCTTTCACCATGTATGAAACGAAAATCAAAATGGATCAAAGGTCTAAATGTTAAAACATAAACATTTAATCTGCTGGAAGACAGAATTGATAACTCTTGAAGACATAGGAGCAGGCAAGGACTTTCTGAACAAAGCCCCAAATGCACAAGAAATAGTAACAACAATCAACAAGTGGGATATCAAATTAAAATTTTCTGCACAGCAAAAGAAACACCTAACAGATTGAAGAGACAACCTACAAAATGGGAAAAAAATTTTGCCACCTATTCCTCAGACAGGGGACTAATATTTAGAATGTAGAAAGAACTAAAAAGAAATTAGATCCCCTCCCCAAAATAAAAGACTCAGTCAAAAAAATGGGCAACTGAAATGAACAGACACTTCTTAGAAGTACAAATGGACAATAAATATATGAAAAAATGTTCAGCATCTCTGGCCATTAGAGAAATGCAAATTGAAACAACACTGAGATTTTTTGTCTTACTCCAAAAAGAATGGCCATCATCAAGAAATTAAATAATAACAAATGCTGGCAAAGCTAGGGGAAAAAGGAAATCTTCTACATTGTTGTAACAATATTAACTAGTACAAGCAATATGGGATACAGCATAGAGATTACTCAAAAAACTAAAATCAGAAATTCAATTTGACCCAGATGTTCCCTTTCTAGGTATCTTCCTGAAAGAGTTAAAGACGTCATTTTACAGTGATGCACGTAGACCCGTATTTATAGAAGCACAACTCATAATAGCTAACTAAATCTTGGAAGCAGCCTATATGTCCATCAACAAAAGAATGGGTAAAGAAAATGTGGCATTTCTACCTAAAAGAGTACTACTCTGCCCTAAATAAGGATAAATGAGTCATTTGTAGGAAAATGGATGAACCTTGGAACCATAATGTTAAGCGAAATAAATCAGACACACAAGCCTAAATATTGCATGGTTTCTCTTATATGAGAAACCTAAAGTATAAATCAAGGGGAAAATAAAAGATAAAAAGAAATAGATAGGTTTTCTGCAAAAGGGAAGGGGGTCAAGAGATGAAGGGAGAAGGAAAAAGGAGAGGAAGAAAAGAACTAGGATGTATTGTGTACATATGCTACTCCCCACACAGAATGTAATTATTATGCACTGCAGACCTGCACAAAGAAAGAAAGAAAGAAGACTCTCCCTGTGCAACAAAATGATTGCATCCTGCAGTGGCACAACCCTTCCCCTCCTTTAAAAATCACTTGTACGCATATAGGGTCACCTTTCCAACTTTGCAGTGGGCAGAGAATAGCAAACTTCCTGCCATACGCTTGGTTCCTGACCCACAGGCACCATTTCCCAGAGGCTGCCCAGGAGCCTGTCCCAGCCTTTTTCCTCGAAGTTCTTTTGCAGCCTGTTATGGTTTGTGTCTAGGTGGCCTGCCAAAGCCTCATGTGGTCATAGGTGGGGCTTTTTCAGAGGTGGATGAATCTAGAGTGTGTGCTGCTGAGAGTGTAGGTGTGTGATTACTAAATCAGTCACTGATAGGTTTGGCACCGCCCTAATCCTGGTAGCCTAGATAGAGTATAGAAGAGGCAGAAGCTGCTAAGGTCCCTTGTTTGCTTTTTCTGTCTTATGCCTGCCATGAACTGTTTCTCCTCTGCCAAGCCACCCTGCCTTGGAGCCAGCGATTACGGACTAAAACCTCTACAAACTGTGAGCTAAATAAACCTCTCCTCCCTTAATTTGTAGGTGTTGGCCATTCTGTCGCAGCAAGGAGAAAAGAAACTAAGACAGGGCCTTTCATTTACATTTCCTAGAAAACTGTGACTGATAAATCCCAGTGGCTGTAGAGCGTTCCTGAGCTGAAGGACTCAATTCCAACCCCTGTGGAAGGAAGCAGTTCAGCTCAGTCTGTTCCACGGCCACAGACTGCCCCAATTCCAGCCAAAGGCCTGCAAAACAGAGGCCTGAGAACCACGAGGATCTGGAGGAAGCAGATGGGTCCTCAGCCATCAGCCCTTCGGATCATCACCTCAGTGCCCGGCCCCGTCAGGGCAGTGGGCAGGGTCACCCGTATGAAGGACTGCAGCAGTTCTGGAAGGAAACTGAGATGCAATGGAGTTGACCATAGCACATCCTCTTCTACCACCTGAGACTCAGAGAGGGGGCTTCCAGCTTTTCCAGAGCTCAGCCCCCGGGGACCAGTGCTCAGCAGGAAGAGGCAGGAGACGGGGGTCTCATCCACGTTCTGCCCTTAACAGCATAATTGAGTGTAAAACATCTAAACCCTGTGCTTCTGTTGGAAAACACTCTTGTTTCTACCTACCTCCCACGTTTTCAAAAGTATAAAACTCAAACATTAGGGAATTTGAAAAAGTACGTTAAGCTTATAGCAAATAAAGGTTTAAAATGACAGATTAGAGATTTAAATGAGATTTAATAAAGATTAAAAATGGCAAATAGTTTAAAGGCTCAACAACAGGAAAATGATAAATTGGGCCACATCAACATAGAGAATGGCGTGTCACCTCTAAAAATTAAATGGGGTGGGCTGGGGGCTGCCCAGTGATGTTTGGAGGAGCCGGGGCACTAGTGACCTGGGCTCACAATCTCTCCATTTAAGCTCATCATCATCAGGGTGGAACAAAGAAGGGTATTCCTGTCTGCATAGGCACAGCTACCATCTTACAGATTTCTACTTCTGGGCCTTGTTCCTAACCCTCAGCTCTTCAGTTCTGTTGTTTCCTTGTTGCTGGGGGCTGGCTGTTGAACCCAGGGAGTGCTAAGCGATATTTGCAGCCCTTTCTACTAGAGTTTATCTTCAGTCATGGTTTTATTATGTGGCCCACGCTAGCCTAAATACTGTCATACTCTTGCGTGAGCCTCCCGGGTATTTGGCACTAAAGGCCCCGAGCCCCCACACCCAGGGTCCTCCACTGTTCTCACAGGTACATTTGGAAGTATCAGCCAGGAACGTCTCATGTGACCGCATGGCAGTGACAAAACTACCTGGCATCTGGAATGCCACAGTTACATGATTTTCACCCCATCGGTAATTTTCTCCCTCCCAGTGTTTCATGGGTATCAGGCTCAAAGTAATCCTATTGCTTAAACAAAGTATATAACCTGCCTCAGGGAATAATTCTGACATGAGTGGCAAAGTCTCCAAAGAGGGACAAGTGTTTGGGTTTCTGTCCAGTGGTAGAGTATGTGCTTTGCATGCTCAAGGCCCTAGGATCAATCCCTAGCACTAAAACAACAACTGACAGCAATAAGCTCCTGGAGCATGTATAAATTGGCACAATGATTTGGAAAGTGATCTTGGAGAGTAAATTTTATGTGTTCATATTCTTTCATATGTCCACAGCCAGAACTTTATCCTAAACTTTAGCACATAAACACCATTTTATTAGAGGATGTTTACTGCAATGCTGTGTGAGTTTTCTTTTGTTTTGAGGTAAGCATACAACTTAGATGCCTACCAAGTGGGGAATAGTGAATGAGGGACTGGGGATTTAGCTCAGTGATGCTACTGTCTGCCTCGCAAGCGCAAGGTCCTGAGTTCGATCCCTGGTACAAAAAAAAAAAGTGAATATTAGGGCTCAGTCATGAGTGGACACTGCCCAACTGCGAAAAATAACAAAAGACCTTCACGTTCACTGTTCGCAAAGGTATCCAAGACTTAAGAGTTAAATTAAAAGATCATGGTACAGAATAAAAAAGAAAAATATGTCAATTGCTAACATGTGGAAATGAGTGTGTGCAGCAATTCCAAGTGTACAAATACTGTAAAGCAGAAACCACAACTACTCAAAAATAATTAGGATGACTGACAAGGATCAGAAAAGGAACTGGAGATGCCTGGTACATAAATGTTGCTCAGTGGTCAGTTTTTGTTCATTTCTTTTTCTGTTCCTATCCAGAAAAAAAAATTAAAATCAAGATATTGTTACTATTTTGTTAGATTCCATCCAGGTGCTTTCTTCTCAAGGTGGTGATTGGTAAAGTAGAGAAATGTCACGATGACTACATCAGCAGGCTGCATGTCCCTGCCTTGGGATCTGGAAGCCTGTGGTGAATGTGGTTAGGTGGTTGGTTTTTGAGGTACTGGGGATTGAACCCAGGGTCTTCACACTGAGCTACATCTAGAGCCCTCCCCCTTCTCCTCTCCTCTTTCTCTCTTGCATTTTATTTTGAGACAAGGTACTGCTAAGTTGCCCAGGCTGGGCTCCAACTTGCACTAGTCTTGCTTCCCTTCCAGTAGATGTGGTTTTGAATCACACATGGTTGCTAATCCAGAAGTAACAAGCCTGCGGGTGTAGCTCTGTGATAGAGTCTTGTCTAGTATGCAAGAGGCCCCAGGTTTCATCCCCAGCATCACTCAAAAAAAAAAGAAGGAAAAAATAAAAGAAAAACTCAGTAAGGACTATCCGAGTTGGTTACAACAGGGTCTCGGGACCTTCTGCAATTGCGGGGAAAGCATGGTGAACTTGGCCCTGGAAGGCAAGGCTGCAGAGCAGTCCCAGCTGGGGAGAGCTTCTGTTATTCACTCATTCTCAGACATGCACGGAGAACAACAAAGACACTGTCTCTATCTTCATGAACCCAGCAGTCTGGTGGGGAGAAATGAACCCAATAGCGAAATTCGATAATTCCACAATGGATATGAGATGACAGTGGCCACAGCAGGTGCTGGAAAGATGAACTTGCAGTGCTGGGAGAAAGTGTGTAATTCCTGGGGAATCTGCCCTCGTCTGCAGGGGGTGGTTCTTCTCACAGAACTGGGGAAAGGAGGAGGGACGTGAGCCTCTTTGCTAGCATTGGATGGACAGAGCATTTGAAGTGCTTCTCACCAGAGGGGCAGCCACTGAAAGGTGTCGAACCTCTGAGCAAGGCGGGTGGAGGATGTGGCTCTTGCTGGCAAAGCCGTGAACACACCACAGACAGCCATGTTCCTGACAAACAGCCCTCAATCTGTGTCTTGTCACCACCCACATCAAAAGTAGAGAGGGTAGAAAATCCACGTTAAGCTATAAAGACAAAAGCTCAGAAAACACAAACAGATGATTGATTCCATTGGAAAGTATAAATGCATGTTCACACACACACCTTCCGAGCCACATATGTAAATGACTGCCCAGCCCAGTCCAGCCTGCCTCTGCCTACAAGTCCTGGGACAAAGATAAGCTAAGTTTTTGGTAGATACAAAAGGAAGTGGGCCTGGGAGGCTAATAGGAAGATGGATGCTTTACTTTCAGAGCGGGTAAGGGTGCTTAGGATCTGCTTGGGCAGCACAACAATTAATCTAATGCAGCAAAGCCTAGGGAGGTCAGGGCAGTACACTCCTTAGATCCAACCTGCCCCAGCTTGGCCACTCATGGCCGTGTGCCTCTGGGCAAGTAGCTTTCCAAGCCCTGGTTCCTTCATTGGTAAAAAGGGGATAACAGCAACTGCCTCACAGATCTGGGATGAAGACTAAATGAGGTAATTCACATCAGTGAATGCATTAAGTGCCGTGCTGGAACATGGCAAGTACACAGTCAAGGTTAGCTTTGGGCCTACCTTCTCCACAGTCTAAGAGGGACTGAAGGGAAAATCTCCGTCGTACAGCGGTATGAATGAGGGGCATCACCCCTGAGAATACAAGTAGCCACAGGCTTGGCACACCCGAACACTTTTATCAGCAATCCGGGACACTCTGGGGCTGGTACCCACTCTCAGGTTCTCAGGAGCCTCTCAATATCAACAAGCTGCAGGCCTGGGAAGGCCTGACTTGTAAGGGTGGACCAGGGTGGAACAAAGGTCTCCATTGCAGAGGCTTAGCCACATGTTAAACCAAAGAGGGACCTCGTAAGGGAGGAACAGAGCAGTCTGTTCCAAGAATCATGGGTCAGATGGATCACAAAGAGGTGTTTTCCAATTGCCAACAGAGGCAGTCTTTATAATTGAATGTTCTCCAGTCAAAGCACATTTTAAAAGGTCTGGGGAGCGTGCTTTTTAAAGGACTCCACTGATGAATCCTTCCATGGAATGAATCATCCCCCTCTAACGCCCTGCTTTGTAGTGTGGATTTCCCCTCTTGCATTCCCACCGAGTGCTTCTTTGATGTGCTGCCTGGCAGACAGACTCTACAAAGCCAGGAGGAGCCTGGGAACTGGGCAAAGGTGAGGAAGGGCGCCAGGAGACCAGCCTGATGACAGAGTGGGGAGCCGGGATTATTCCTCCAGAAGGGAAGGCTGCAGGGCATATAGCGACAGCTTTCAGCTTTACTGGAGCTGTCTTTCAGGGAATCGAAACAAGTTCCACTGGGGAGGGGAGAAGAAGCGGAAAGGGGCCTTGAAATGCAGGTTGGAAGATTCAGGCTAGATGCAAGGAGCATTTCCGGGCTGCGATGGCTGGGCAGGTGGAGACTGTCCATCCCTGGCACAACTCAGGGTGCACCTGGTGAGAGCCAGATGGATTCAACGCCCTCCAAGAGTCCCTTATTGTCCCCAAACAGCACTTCTAATTTTCAAACCCTTAATGTAAAATTCAACTCATCTGCTAGGTCTTCATAGGGTTTTGCTTAAAAATTTTTTTGCTAGAAATAAAACATAAGAAGATTGTACAAGATTGTACAAGAATGTCCATAGCAGCCTTATTCATTATAGCTCCAATCTGTAAACAATCCAAATGTTTATCACAAGTGAAAGAAAAAAAAAGATTGTGGTGTATTCCCAGCATGGGCCACTCCCCAGCGATAAAAGGAACAAACTACTGACACATCCATGAACATGGATGGATCTCTTAAACGAAGGAGGCCAGACGTGAAGCACATACCATATGATTCCATTTATACAAAGCTCCGGCACAGGTAGCTGCTCCAGGGGGAGAGACATCAGAGCAGTTGTTGCCCTGGCGTCAGGGTGGGAAGGGAGTTAACTGGGATGGGGTTAGAGACAGAACTCTCTGGATGACAGAAATGGTCTACGTCTTGTTTTGGATGTGGGTACACAGGCATACAATTATCAAAACTCAATGAATTGTATGCTTAAGACTTGTATACCTTTTTGTATGGAACTGCTACTACAATAAAAATGTGGAAAGATTATGAACTCAGAGTTCTGTGATTTACAGTCATAAAGGTATGCTTCCCTCTTTTTCCTTTGGGCTATATAATACTGGGCAAGTCACTTAAACTCTCCAGACTCTGTTTCCTCATCTGTAACAGTCACATTGACCCTGTGGGGGCATCTTAAGGAGAGGTTCAAATGAGTGCATGTGGAAAGTGCTCAATTAAGCCTCAGTTATTATAATAGCTCATCACCCCTTCTCTACTTTGAACCAGTAAGGAGAAGTACTCTAAAAATACTTCCTTTACAACCTTACTCATGGGCTACTGTGCTGAACATTCAGGATTTCTGAGGCGCTCCCTCAAGTCAGAGCAGCCCTGCACTTGGGTTTGTTTTGTAGGGCCAAGAACTGACACATCTAGCAAGTGCTCTACCCTCCACCACTGTCATGGGTTAAATTGCATCTCTCCCGAATTTACTTTAAGCCCTAGCTCCCACTACGTCAGAATATGATGTCTTTGGACATGAGGTCTTTAAAGAGATAACTAAGCTAAAATGAGGTCATGGGGTAGGCGCTACTACAGTATGACCGAAGTCCTTATAAGATGAGAAGATGGGACACGGACAGGGAGTAAAGACCACAAGAGGACACAAGATCACCATTAGCAAGCCAAGGAGAGAGGGGGTCAGAAGCAACCAGCTTTACCGGCTCCTTGATCCCCAAATTCCACCCTCTAGAGGTGTAAAACAATAAATCTCTGTTGTTCAAGCCACCCTGCCTGTGCCCGTGTGTCATGGCAGCCCGAGCTGACTGGTACTACCATCTTCCCAAGGCCCCAGGGCCACACTCACTGCTGCTCTTGGTGTAGAGCCGGAGGAGCTCTGCCAGGCCACTCTTCTTCACCACCGCTGTGCTGCTCAGGTTCTCCTGGTCCAGAATCCTGAGGAAGTCATCCAGCTCTGTCAGCAGCTGATCCAAGGCTGGATACGGAAAATGGGAGAAAGCTTTCAGTGGCTGCTCCTCTCCCAAAGCCTGGCGTGTGTGCCCCTCCAGACCCTGCAGCTTCCCACCATGCCACCTCTGGTCACAGGAGGTAGGGTTCTCAGTCCTGAGAGCTCAGTGGGAGAGAGGCAGGGCCCTGCTGTTGAGATGGACAGCCTCGGCCAAAGCTCCAGGTCTTCCTTTTGCCTGGAGGGATGGTGGGCAGGTTGGTCCAACATTCTGAGGGCATTTCCCCCGTCACCAGTGTCTGCCCTCACACAGTTCTCGTGGGGAAACAGAACAGCTGCCAAAGAGCTTTCCTGGCTACTGAGCTCTGCCCTCAGAACTGTGGTTAGAATCAGGGTTATCTGATCTTGATCTTGATTCCCTCCGGGGACTCCAGAGACTATTGTTTAACCATTGAAGCCCTATGACTCCAAGACTGACCATGGCTTGGCTGCATGGCTTTCTAAAACAAATCTGTTCTCAGATGCCCATGATTAAAAGCTGCCCCAGCTCCCTAGATACCTACTAGCTTTCCTTCAAACTGCTACAATGTCACCCACTGCATCCATCATCTATTTTGTGGCCCAACCTCTGTACCCAACTTTCTCTGGTGTTCACAAACAATGGACTTCTCCCCTGACAAATCCTACTCATCCCTTAGGTCTTGGTCTAGATAATGTTCTTCCTGGGACACCTTCTCTGGGCCTCTGGGACAGTGAGGGCTCCTGTGACAGATAATCCCATGTGACTGCCATTGGCCCTTACAAAGGCTGAATGGTGGCCTCCAGCGATGTTCATGTCCTCATCCTCTGAAGCTATGAATACACCACTTTACACAGGAAAAAGGGCTTACCTGTGGTTGGATGGAGTGAGGAGAGGACCCTGGATTATCTGGGTAAGCCCCAGGCAATGACCAGACCCCTGATAAGAGGCAGGAGGGTGAGAGTCAGAGAAAATGGGACGCAAAACCAGGAGCCAGAGAGGAGCAAAGAAGCTACCATGTTGGCTCTGAGGCTGGGAGAAGGCAGGGATCAGAAGCCAAGGAATGCAGGCGACTTCTAGAAGCTGGAAAAGCAATACTCTCCTCCCAGAGCCTCCAAACACAACAGAATCATGTGGACACTTAAGACTCTGATCTACAGAACTGCGTTTTAACGAACTTGTGTTGTTATAAGTCACTAAGCTTGGTAGTGCGTTACAGCAGCAATAAGAAACTAATACAACCTGTCACAGTTCTGACTGTGCTACATATTGTAACTGCCTGTGTCACTATAACTACATGTTCCAAGGACAGGCTTTGCATCTAGTTTACATTCCCAGAGCCCAGCACAATGTCCAATAAATACTAACTGATGAAATGAATGAACAAAAGTAAAGTAAATTCACCCTCTTATTGCATATCTGAAAACACTCCAAGAGCAGTGTGTAAGACAAATAAATCCTAGCCTGGATTGGGACCAAAGAAGAGTCTACTGAAAAGCCAGGTATCTGGCAGGTCCTATGTAACTAAAACACTGGAGCACATAGGCTTTGTGAAAAGCCCTACTTTTCCACTTCACATACACAGTACCAACACTGGGAACCCAAATAAGTCTTCCCTTAAAGATTTCAACCTACTTTTCTACTTCACATCATACAGCACCAACCCTGAGAACCCCAACAAGACTCCCTCCGTGGTCGAGATGAAACCCCTCGTCTACCGAATACACTGGTTGTTGTAAAACTTGGGCATCTGAAGCTTGCCCGCCATCTGGAACCTCTGGTGGCACCTGCTTTTGTCATGGTCCCTCCTCTTTGCACCAACTTGAGCTCCTTAGCTCCTTGGGCAATCTTTTAGCAGTGTCACTCTGGGAGGTAATCGATGGCTGAGGAGAAACAAGCATGGTCTCTGGAAGTCCGCACTCCTTTGGTTACTCCACCCCATTGCTCATCAGACCCACAATCCAACTGAGCAGATTTACAATAACCAGAGGGAGAGAGGAGAGGGCACTGGACACCAGAGGATGGGGCGGAGATCAGGCTCTCCCAGGTGGTCAAATGTTTGCCCAAGGAGGATGCACCACAGGGACTTTCTGAACAGACAGAAAAGCATGGGTAGGGGTTGAGCCCATGGTGGTGACCACGGGTGTCATGAGAGGCTGTGCCCAGTATCCCTTCAACCTCAATGGCTCTTGCCATCTGAGCCAATGGGGCTTCTCTGCTGGAGCCACTGACTCAGCCCCAACTCCTGCTGTGGCCAGACTGGCTAAGTAAGGGCTGAGAGCCTCACTGCCAGGGTCACCCTGGCCTCATCCAACTGAGGGCACTGCTGGGCCTGGACAGAAGAGCCAAACCAGAGAGCCTCAGAGATGGCATAGACATCGAAGGACTCAATTAAAGAAGGAACAGCTGGAGAGAGATGACTTTTGCCTGAAATAAAGTCAGGAAGGCCACCCCATAACCCAAGTCACAAACCTGAGTGGTGGCAGTTTGTGCACGAATATTTACTGCTACTAGGTCCATAAGTGCTGGTTCAGGGAAAGATCTCAAAGGAAAAATAAAGCCAGGTCCCTGAACTGAAAGGCCTTTGGTTGGGTTTTGTTTTGTTTTCAACAGTTATTCATGAGTTTCCTGTTGGTTGCAGGAACTCAACGGGCTTTAGCAGTGAGTTTAAAGAAGTCAACCCAGGGAAAACAAAGGAAAAATATGAGGAAAGTGACTCTGGGCCTCACTCTCAGATCCAGCAGACAAGAAAAAGCGAGGGAACTGGGGACTTGGCTACATTTCTCTGACCCTCTGAACTTCTCAAGGCTGTGCCTTGGCAGCTACTTCAGAGCAAGGTGGAGAGAGGAAAAAGCAGAAAAACTGAAAGTGTCTCTTCCCGTGTACATCCTTAGCTTTTCCCAAAAGCTGTTGGATTCCTGAAAAACAGCCTCTGTTTATATTCCATGTGAGCAAAAACGGACTAAGCCCAAGGGCAGAAAATGTGCAAAGGAAGGCAAAAGTCAAAACGGGTCCTCAACTCTTGGGGGGGTGCCCAAATCAGTAGAGGGGGCACCCAGTGAACATAAACAGAGGTGAGAACAAGATTAATTTGGAAATGTCTCCAAGGAACAGGAATGAACATGAGAGGCCACCTCTGGGCTTATCGAAGAGAAGAATTTATAAGCTGGTCCTTTTGGATCACATAGGAGCTCACCAGAAAGCAGCAGAGGGATTTTAGGAAAAGACAGTGGCATTCTCAGGAGAGTCCAGTGCTGAGCGCACATAGCATATTTGAGAAACCATGACCAGCTCTGTGTATCAGGGACATCAGGAGCACAGGGGTGGGTGCAGACGAGCCTCAAAGGGCAGGAGGTAGGCTCCGAAGCCAGAACTGTGGACTGGGGTGAGGCAGATGGTGTGGCTTTATCTACTCTGGTCAGCAGTCACCGCAGAGTTCTGCAGGGCCTAGAGCAACGTAGCAGGTAGGGCCACAGAAAAACCCAGTTGTGTACCCTCTGCAAGTGCACAGCCGTGGGAAGGGGCTACTGAGGCTGGAATACAAGCCAGCTTGGCACTTCCCCAGTGAGCAGCTGAGCAGCGGTGCTGGGGCTGGGGCTCTAACCCAGGTGTGTCCAAGTCCGAAAGACTCACTGCTGCAACCCACTGGCTGGAGTCATTCCCAGCGAGTGGGAGGGGTTTATCTGCTTCCTGGTCCTCCGTACTCCACAAGGAAGAACATGGGGGCAGGCACAGGAAGCAGAGTCAGAGGAGACGCACGACAGGCAGGGCCAGTGGGAGCTGGCAACCACTCGGTTAGAGGGAAGATGTAAGGGAAGACGTCCCAAGGGGGAGCTGCAAAATGCAATCACACAGAGGCCTGGGGATGCTACGGTGAACTTGGCAGCCATGGTCCCTGCCTTGGAGAATTAATGAGACTAGTACTTGGGGTGCTCTCTGCTGAGGACAGTGTTGATACCCTCCTTTGCTTCTGGAACAGTTGTTTAGGTAAATGGTAAGCACCAGGGTTGAAGAAACACAGGACTGGGGACCAGACTGAGTCATTTTCCTTCCTCTCTCGATCCACAGCATTCTTCAAGGTCCACCCAGGTCCACACTGCTTCCCTCTCCAGGAAGCCACCTGTGACCTGCAGCACTGGGCTCCTCTGCCAGCTCTACCTCCCTAAATCTTTCGGTGAAAACCAGTCGTTCCCAGTCATCTGAGCATATGTCAGGTCTACGCTGCGGCAGGCTAGACAAAGTCCTTCCTGGTCAAGGGTCAGGCTCTGTAGGTTTGGGAATCTAACAAGGTGCCAAGTACACCCGAGCCTCTTGGTGATTCCTCTATGGACACATCCTTTGAGGGGTAGTGCTACAGGCTCTTGGAAATAACAATCAATAGGGCCCAGGCCCTGAGTTGCACCAAGCCCAGTGACATTTTTCAACCCTCAGGGCTCAGCGGGGCTGTGGGCCACCCCTCCTAGGAATGTGGCGATTCCATTGAGGCTCTGGAATGCGCTCATCACATTTCCCTTCTCCTCCACCATCCCCCACACTTTTCATTTCAGTCTCTTCCTCCTTGTGGTCCAGTGGAGGGAGGGAAAAATAAGCGTGTTGTTCATTCTGGAAACTGTAGGCCCTTGTACAGGCTTTCCATCCTGGCTCTGTTAAAGTTCAGAGTTGTCTGCTCGGGGTCTGACAAATCATCAATAAGATTCTTGTTTAGAACTTCCAAGGCCCACGCAGAGCTGTACCGCTCAACTGCTCAATTCATTGCCCTGGGCCTGGCGGGGCCCTGCCTCCCAATGACCTCCTTCCCTGGCTTCTCTCATCTTGAGGCAGTCTCGCTTCTTGGTCAATAGGTTCCCAACCATAAATGTCTTCCCAACACACTAAGAAAGTTGCTTTTCATGGGTCCCCTGCTGTCTCATGCACAAATTTTTATTTATTCAGCTGCATCTGCTGATGACCCATGATTGAGCAGGATTTTCCCTCCAAACATCAAACTGAGCAGACCTGTTCTTTGTTTGCA